TATTATTTTATGAAATCAAAATCTTATACTTTTATTAAATGATCTCATCAAAATATGTTGATGGGCAGAACTAGATGAAAATTAAAGAATTATTGAATAAATTAATTTTTAATTTTAACTTGAAAATAAAAAAGTTTTTTGGACCAAATTACTTAAAACAATTTTCGCTTAATCATTTAATTGTTAATAATCCAAATCAATTTAATATATCGCATCTAAACTTTTTTATCTTTATTGCTTTATATATTCTAAAAATTTTAATATATTAATGCTGATTCTTTCATATTAATAATTAGACTGTAATTTAAGTTTATTTTTTGGAAATTATACCTTATATTTTAATTCAGTGTACAAATGTATCCAATAAAATTAAAGAAAAGATTTTTCTTTTATTAAAAGTAGTAAATTATATTTATGATTAATAGCAGTGTTATTGTAATTGAATATTATTTATTCACTCATAAATTTCATTCAATACCTTATTAAGCTTTATGTAATCTTTTTTATTTACTACAAAATAAATTTGAATTTTGAAATAGTATATGAAATAATAAACTTTTTTATTCTATCATAATTTTATTACCTCGATAACTTTTTATATAATTTTGGAGAATATTAATCATATAAAAATAATATCAAATATAATCATAAATATTATATCAAGCTATCTTTTTGTATTTGATGAAATGAATTTCTTACAAAGTGTCATAATGTTTACGATGATGAGATACATGTTTGATAGAATCACAAACCCTTATTAATTATAATTTTAACATCTTTTTCCTTCTTTCAATGTTCATCATATGTTATGGTTTTGTACGAAATCTTTCTGAATGGCTGTAATTTGAATTTATAAAAGAGAATTACAGAATACCACATTATCTTTAATCTTATTTCCTCTCTTTTTCTTCAGGATGTACAATTGTTTCTTTATTTATACTTAATGATCTATAATCACAAATCTATGGAAGTAATATATGATCTAAGTCATTTTAAGGTCCTAATCTTTTTTTAAAATGATTCATTGTAATAGTAATATTGAATAATTATATAATGAATATTGAACATTATCAATAAATCCATTGAAAATTAATAATATTTTATATTTGTTTTTGTTCTGATTTACAAAAATAGAAAACAAGCCTTAAATTAATTAAATAATCATATATTTATTCTTTAAATTAATGTAAAATAGAATCTATATTCAACTTAGCAAAGTTAAATGTAAAAATTATAGAACCAAATTCTTTTAATTATATTATCAATAATTGGAGTAGGAAAGAACAAAATGAATTAAAAATATAATAAAAATACTTTTTTAGAAACTTTTACAATTTAATGAAATATTTACAAATAATATTAATTGATTTTACATGATAAACTCAATTAAGAACTAATTTAAGCAACAGCTTGAATTACTTCAGGATAAGAAGTACAAAAAACCAGCATTTGAAGCTTATAATATGAAAAGAGCTTTTGTCACTTTGGATCAAGCTTTTGAATATGTTGGAGACAATTCCAAATATCAATAGAGAATCACATTATTATTATGCATATAATTTTTGTTTTACTCATTTTTTGTTATGGGTATGCCCTATTTGTTATAAAATCCTTCTAAATATTGTACTGATGGAATCTGTATTGAATATCCTAATTGTAACAATAGAATAGATAGTTTAATTGGATTTGACAGTATTGCTAAAGAATTTGGATTATTTTGTAATGGTAGAAAAGCCTTTATAGCTGCATTATTTTTTGTTGGTTAAATGTTTGGAGGATTTACATTTCCAATATTGGCAAATATTTTTGGAAGAAGAAAGATTTTATTATTTGGAATGAGTTTAGGTTCTATATCAATTCTAGTGGGGTCTCTTTGTCATAATTTATTATCACTTTATGCACTCTTCTTTATTGCAGGTTTTGGATTGAGTGGCTATGAGACTGTGGTTTATGTTTATATTACAGAAATAAGTGCCTTAAGATTTCGATCTATTGCTAGTTCTTTATTAATTGTTATATGGAGTTCTTCAATGCTTATATATCCATTTATAGTTGATATTTTATAATCATGGAGACTTTTAATGATGTGGAGTATTGGAGTTCCTCTATTAATAACAGTAGTATTGGATTACTTTTACTTTGTAGAATCACCAAGATGGCTTATTTCTAAATAGTAATATGATGAATGCAGAAGAGTTTTTAGATTTATGAGTATCTTTAATAAAAGAAGACCATTTGAATTTAACTTTATGGAAGAATTAGATAAATTCAATAGTCGTTGTGTAAAAGTGGCTTCAATGAAAAAGGTGGAAACCTAAATAAAATTAACATAACAATCTAATTAGAATGCAGGATATTGGGAATTATTTAAAAGATCAAAATTACTTATCTAAACTTTAATATTGGTTTAAATGTGGTTTTTGAGATATTTTACATATTATGGTTTATAATTTTCAGTATCTACATTTGGAATATCAATGACAACTACATTGAGAATGTTGGCTTTAGTTGAATTAATGACTGGAATGTCAAGCTGTAAAATTATATTTAAATTATAAATTAGTATATTTTAAGTTGAAATATCCAAGAATCGTTTCATTATAATTTTGTTTACTTACAATGATATTGAGTGCTACATTATCATATATTGATATTCCCTCAGAATGTTAAGGTTCATTGTGTTGGCAACAAATACTTCATCTACTTAGTGCTATATTGATTAAAGCAAGCATTACAATTTATAATTCAATGCTTAATACATATACAGGAGAAGCATATGTAACAACTGTAAGATCATATGGATATGGAGTTTGTATGACTTTTGGATAACTTGGTAGTACATTTGCTCCTCTATATGTGTCATATGTATAAGAAATCTACCAATAGGCAAGTGCAATCACAATAGTTGGTTTGTTGGCATTAATTGCTCTTGGATTAACATGGTATGTATTAATCTTAATAGACTTAATTTAGGTTTTTACAAGAGACATACAAAAAGGATATGTATGATAATTTGACAGATGAGGTAATGGCAACCTAAACTCTTCCCCTGATTAATCAGGATATGTAATTTGATGAAATCGAACTTTAACAATTAAGCAGATGATTAATATAATTATATATTTTTTTATGCAACAGTTGAGGAGCAGCCATTTCTAATTAGGACAAACAGATTAAAGTATATAGCTGATATCTTACAATATTAGAAAATTAGTTCACATCTACTATGAAAATGAATTTCAAAGGGGACTAAGTAAATGATTAAGCCACTGGAGTTGGAGATTAATTAAATTTAAGAGGAGTTCATTTTCATTTAGGAGAGTCAAAACGTATAATTTCAATTCTTATTCTAGCTTCCTATAACACAATTTTCAAAACTGATTTTTAGGGTAAACAAATAGGTGAACCTGCTACCTTAAATGAAGAAAAAAAAAATGATTTGAGAACAAATCATTTTGTACTTGGTCATCAATAGGCTCAATAAGTATCTATTACAAGAGCAACATATAATGAAAAACCACTTCAACCAGGATTATAAAATGAATAAGAAAGTAAAATGCATATATCCTAAATATGAGTACAAAAAAATAAAATGAGATCACATCATCATAATTTTGCTGAAAGTTCTCATAAAATGATGCAAACAAACTATAATTAACAATATCAACCTTAATAATTAGAACCTAAATAGGATTTAGCCGAAAGAGCAAGACAACTAAGAGTTTCCAATATTTTTCTAGGAAAAGAGGTAACTAACAACTTAAAATATATTATTAGTAAGTTCCCATGATTACAGCTTAATAAGAAGATTATAATAAAAAAGAAGGAGGAGCTTAGGCTTCATTTAAACCAGGATTTTAATCAACTCATTTTAATTTTGGTAATGCAAATCCTGATTTCAAAACCATGAATCAAGAATTCTTTCATCAATAAGAAATAACATCAAATCCATTTGCAGAAGAAAACAGATAAAATCTAAGAGGTTATACCATTTATAATTGTTTTAGCCACACATTTTACATTAGGAAAAGATAATTAACCATATCAATCTGAACAAATGTCACATTTCAGACCACATTCAGAAAATAAAGTTAACTATATCAATAACACTGCTGCTTTATAAGGAAGTCATTTTACTATTGGAGATCCAAGATTTATGAACCATAAAACTTAAACTTTCTATAATTCAACTATGAAATCACCTTAATAATAATAGAATTCATAGGCAAGAGATTAATAAATGGATAGAGGATCTAATTTTAAAGTTGGAACAGATAATATATCATATAGATCAGAAATGCAATCCAAGTAATATTTATATCAATATTCAAGTTTTAAAAATCCATCAGGATAACCTGCTTAATTATCAGAAAAATTATTAAAAGATTTAAGATCTTCTCATTTTGGTTTAAATGATAATGTTAGTAAAAATACATTCATGACTACTAAATAAATGGAAGCATTAAATTAATAATAAGGATAACCAAATAAATTAGATCCACATGCTAGTGCAAATTTAAGATCTCATCATTTTAACCTTGGTTAAACAAAAGGAGACTTAATTTCTTAAACACATGATATACATAGACCATTAATAGGAAAACCTAATACATTAAATTAATAGTAAGCAAATAATCTAAGAAAACATCATTTCGCATTATCATGATATCATAAGATAATAATAATTTATAGATAATATTATAAGTTTTAGGGTTAAATTATAATATGGTTTAATAAAGATATAATCTTTCTTTTTACTATTATAGAATTGCTTTAAATATTTGATTCCTTTAAAACCTTTTTTAATTTTGACATCATTAAAGTTCTTTAAATAATTCAAAGTAAGCACTAATGACATCTTTTTAATTTGTTATAATCTTAAGTTAAATATTTGATAACCATAAAAATTATAGATTTCTGAATATTCAAATAAAATTTATAATTTTATTGTAGTCAAATAGATAGATATTTATTAATAAACAATATAAATTATATATACTATTATTTAATGTATTTATTTATCAATTTACTTAATCAAAGATCTAAGTCTTATTTCTTATTTTTCTTTGACTTTTGATTTCTTTTTTCAATTTCTTATTTCACTCTTTCTAAATCCTTAAAATAAGTAATAAAAATACTTTATCAACTTGATGCGAACCACTTTATGCTTTTTTAGCTTTTTCTGCTAATACTTTTTTGATATCTACTTTATCAGTTTATTATTATTATTATTGTTATTATTATGGTTATTATGGTTATTATTATTATTACTATTATTATTATTCTGGTTATTTCTCAGTGGTACCTTAGGCTGGCTATTTATCAGCATCTTTGTTTTTATTTTTTTTCTTCTTTTTTTTTTCTTAATCTCCAGCCTATTCAGTTTCTTTTTAAGTAAAACCTAATTCATTCAATATAGCATCTAAATCTTCATTTTCTTTTTTCTTTTAATCTTTCTTCTTTTATTATTATTATTTTTCCTCTTGAGTTTATTTTTGTTTCAAGACTATTGTATAATTAAATAAACAAACTTTAATATTAATTGACTGGTTCTTCTTTAGGTTATTCTTATTCTTATGTCTATTATTCAGATTAGACTTATTCTTCAGGTTTTTATTCCTCTTCATCACTGTAATCCATAAGTCCTTAGAAATTGTTTTTCTATAGATTTATAAATTTTGAATACACTTGGTTTAATTCTTCGAGCCTCTAATGCAGCTTATTACTCTTTTTAAATTTATTCAGCCTATTTCTTTTACAACTCCTTGAGTCTAACCCATTCTGGCTTATGATGCTTTTGATATGGTTTTTTTGATTATTTCTTTTGTTCATTATTTTATTCTTATTCTTATTGTTTTTCCTATTTGACCTCTTTAGCCTAATTTTCTTAAGGTTAAGTTTCTTAAGCTTATGGTTGAACAATTTCTTCATCATCTGAGATTTCTGCCCAAATAACATTTGCAGTGGTACTATCAGCCATTTCAAGATATAAATAATTTTTAAATATTTTACAAAGTTAATAATCAAAATCATCTAGGTACATTTGGATGTAGTGCCAATTCACGAAGATTACAATCTTCATTATCTTAAACAACAACTAAAATTCTCTCCTTATTAATCATTTATCTAATAACAGCACCAACTAATCTCTCATATTAATGAACTTATTCTTCATGTTCAATTTAATCCAATTTATTAGTAATGTACCATTCAGCTAAATCCTCCCATTTTACACCTTTAGCTTCTGTAATTTCTTCTTGCATATCTCTCTCCTTCTGTATCATGAATGAAGTTAACGCTCTTACAATATCTAAATATTCATCTTGAGCTAATTGAATTTTCTATCCTTATCTTCTCCTTTCTCTTTCTTTCTACTGCAATTCTTCTTCTATGATACCCATTGCTCTAGTTTAAATAGGTTATTGTTCTTCTAAATCATCAATAAACTTTGGTGTTTCATCCACTTAAAGAATAGATTAACCTAATAATTTCTCTGCCTCTTGAACGTAAGAGACTTTAATAAAATCATCACATTATACTCTGGCCAAAGCTTCTGATAATCTAATCAAAGATTCTAACTATCTAACTGTAATACGATAACTTGTTCTCTAACTTGTTTGATCATTCTCTCTTAATCTTATATAAGCTTCCTTAACATACTATGCACTTTCATATGTTAGAATTGGCTTAAATGTTCTAGCATATCTTATATATTTTCTCAGTTAATCTTAACTAAATCTTGGTTCTAAAGCACCTTCTTATTAACTATGTAATCTGACAATGTGAGTAGCAATTTATTCATCAACAAATGGTCTACAAGCATCTGTGATGATAAAGAACAAATCAAATCTAGACATGATTGGTTATGTCATATTGACATTAAATTTAAGAGTTTTAGATCTATCATATCTACCAAATATTGGATTTGCTGCAGCTAAGATAGATGTTCTTGCATTTAATGTTGCTTAGATACCTGCTTTAGCTATAGAGATAGTTTATTATTCCATAGCCTCATGAATTGCAACTTAATCCTTAGAATCCATTTTATCAAATTCATCAATACAACAAATTCCATTATCTGCCAACATCAATGCTCCTGCTTCAATACAAAATTCTCCATTTTCAATATCTCTATGTACTGATGCTGTCAAACCTGCAGCACTTGAGGCTTTACCTGAAGTATAAACTGATCTGGGTAAGAGATTACAAGTAAATTTTAAAAATTAAGATTTTGCTGTTGAAGGATCTCCAACTATACATAAATTTATATCTCCTCTAATATGTACTCCTTCTTTTGTAGTCTTATATACTCCTCCCATTAACATTAATAGAATTCCTTTTTTTATATCTTCATATCCTTATACTGCTGGAGCAATTGAATTAGCTAAATTCTTAAAAAGATCTGGTTGTTTTTTCATTTCCAAAATTTCTTATTTTTCAAAATCATCAAATTATTATCCTCTTTTAGCATCTTAATCACTCAAACTCTCTGTATATTCTTTATCATCAATTGCCTATTTTTATAGATTAAATCTATTATTGTTAGTTTCTACACTACAAGCAATGAACACAAATTTATAACATAAATCTTTAACACCTAATTATTTTAATCCTGTAATTCCATCTTATGTTTATCCTCTCTAGTTATTTCCTTAATTCTAAGTTGACATAGAACTCTTCAAACCTGGTTTACTTAAACTAAACACATCAGGAATAACAGTCAAATATCCATTAAATGTACATTTGTCTCCTGGTTTAGCAGCATCACATTTTTCATTGTGTAATATCACATCTATTGATCTAGGCATAGATCCAGCAGGAATATCTTTTGAATCTTCTTATACTCTTACCTTTTAAAAGTCTGTAAATTATGATTTATTTAGATTTATTGTCCATTTTGATTTATTATCACATTTTATATTAGGACACTAAAAATTTTAATTCAATATTACTTTCTTTGGTTCTGTAAATTTAAATTGTTATTCTACATTATCAATAATTCTATCACACATTTAACAAGTGAATTATGCTGACAATAATTCAGGTCTAACTTCATAAGTACGAGTCACAGTTCCAATAAATGAAGATAATTTGCCAATTTTATTAGCCTTTAAATCTCTAATCTTTTCTGTAGCTGCCAAGTTAAAAACTGCCAAGAAATAAAGTTTTTCTAAATTTATTTGTTTTCAACACTTACATTAATCTTCAACATCTTAATGCTATATAAACATAAATTCTTAGATGGCTCTTCTAAAACTTGGTTCAAATTGATAAAAATCTGTTTGCATAATAATAGACAGATCTTAATATCCTTCAGTCTGAGTTATATGAGTAAAGTCCAAATTTAATGTTGTACGATCATTATCTCTCATTATACGAGCTTCTTCATGGTAGTAATAGAAATTTTCTCCTGATAATGGATTGATTGTTCTAAACTCTTGTAAAAAGTGGAGAAACCGATTTTAAACTTATTGTTCACGTGTTTCTTACATAATTTAATTATTATCCGCGAAATTATATTAAAAGCGCCAATTAATTAGAGAGAATTTTGTAATTTTATATTATCAAAATATATTTCATTATATAATAACTCTATTATAGGTTCTTATTTTATATTAGATTAGATTGAATTATAAATCAATTGAGTTAAACTAATAAAATTTAGTAATCTTGAAAGAACAGTTATTTTGCTTATTTGAAAGTAACTATTCTATTAGATTAACATAATGGTATTAAAGATAATTAAATTAAATATGAAATAAAGTTCGATTCTTGTTGATGTCAATTATTTAGAATTTGATTGCTTCCCTGTCTATTTAAAATTCTGATTAATTTAATTTTTATGAAATAAGCTAATCTCATTTAATGTAATTTTTCTGATACTAGATTTGTACAACTTCTCAAAGAAAATAATTAGAATCCTTAGTACACTAAATCATTGATTATTAAATTTAATTCTGCAAAAATTACTCATGTTGTTATTAGTAAATATCATTATTACTTTTTTGATTAGAATTGAATCGAAAACCTAATAATATTGTAGCAATGTTGGCTAATCTCTAAAATTAAACAAAAAAAGCAAATGATATTGAATTAGAGTATGTAAAATTTAATCACTTTACTAATGAGAATTAAAAAGTCATTTATAATTGCAATGTTAATACAAATATAGTAATAATAATTTTTAACATTTAAGTACTATACATATCTTTAAATAAAGTTTGATCAGAATGATGTAGCTTTTTTTAATATTTAATTATATGGATATGAAGCATAATAGCAAAAAAGTTTAGATAATTTATAAGTTTAACCTATTCAATTTGGTACAAAAATTAATTTAAAAAATCAAAAAAAAGATACAAAAGATAGACATTAATAAGAAATTAATAAATTTTCATAACAGGAGAAATAGGATCTTGAAGATGCAGTAAAAAATAGTTTAATTAGTTATCAAACTAAGGAGATGAATAATAAATAAATCATAGAATCTATTAAATATGCTGAATATTTCTAGTAATAACAAGAATATGAATTTTAAGATTTGGGTATAGAGATTGAGAAGGAAGATAATGATTTATAGAAATATTAATATGAATAGAAAAAATAACCTTAATTAATGAGTGAAAATCTAGGCTACACTGATAATAAAAATGTTACTAATTTTGGATTTAAGAGAAATACTCAAGAAAAAAAAGGATATCAATAATAATAACAATAATAATAATAGAATAATGTTGATCCAATTAAACTACATCTTATGACAAAGTATAAAGCAGAAGATATTAATGAGGCTTTTATGAAAATGCATTAATTATGTAGAATAATTTCATGATTTGTAGTGGAGGAAACAGGTGGAGTGAAGAGATTTCTAGAAAATGTGATGTTTAATTGATATTATAAAATAAATAATGGCATAAAATCCTGCTATCATAGAAGTGGCTGAAAATCCTGAGGAAATCAAAAAGAAAATCAAAGCCTTACCATTGAAAGAGAAACTAAAAGCAGTGGCATTGAATTATTACTTGTAATAAAAAAAGAAGTTGGATATTGAATTAGAGAAGGAAATGAAAAAACTTTAGATTCAATTTGATGAAAAAGCAGCAAAAATATATAAAGCAGTAGATATGATGAAATAACAGATAGTCAAATGAGATTATAGAAGGGACGCGTTTACTTACTGAAGAGGAATTGAAAGATGTTGATTTTTATTTGGAAGGAGAGGAAGCGACATAAAAGAATCAGGCTTTGACAGCTGAGCCAATTAATGGTTATTGGTTTAAGGCATTAAAAAATTCAGATATCATAGCATAAGAAATAAAAGACAGAGATGATCCAATATTAAAATCTCTTACAAAGATTGAATATGAACCTTAAGAAAAGAGTGACAATTTTTCATTAAATTTTTATTTTGCACCTAATGATTACTTTAAAAATTCAGTGTTGAAGAAAAAGTTTATATTGAAAGGTTTAAATTATTGATTAATGTTTGAAGATGGTGAGAATCCTGTAAAAAGTGAAGGTACGATTATAGAATGGAATGATGGCAAGAATGTGACAAGAAAATTGATAAAGAAAAAATAATTAGAAAAGAAGAGTGGTATAGTAAAGACAATTTCTCAGGAAGTGGATGCAGAAAGCTTTTTTATTTTCTTTAAACCAATAAATTTAGAAGATAAAGAACAAATAGAAAAATGGGTATAAGAAAATAAATTAGATAAATATGCAGAACGTATGGATATAGATTATGATATTGCACGTATGATAATTGATGAAATTATTCCATATTCATTAGAATATTATTTGGGAGTTAAAATTAATGATGCCTTTGATGATATTGAAGAAGTGGATGCAGAATCATCTAAAGGTAGTGATGAAGAAGAAGAAAACAAATGAGGAAATTAAAAATGAATATATAAAATTTAAATTAATTATTATAATTTTTATAATAATTATTATAATATATATATTTTTATAAGATATTGAGGCTGAAATATATTACGTATTATCATGAATATTCATATCCTCAGATTAATATCTAGGATAATAAATTAAATAAGATACAAATTTAATGTACGTAAAACCAATATCCACTCTAACTCACATTGGCAGATATTATGTCCGCATTATAAAGGACTTGTCAGTAGTCAAATAAATCCCAGCTGGATCAACAGTGCTTGTTGGTGGTTTTGGATTATGTGGTATACCAGAATGCAGCATCAATGCTTTAAAGGAAGCAGGCACAAAGAATCTCACTGTAGTTAGCAATAATTGTGGAACTACAGATCTTGGATTAGGATTACTTTTAAATAATGGATAATTGAAGAGAGTTATAGCCTCATATGCTGGAGAAAATCATAATTTGGCTAAGTAACACTATTATACAATCATTTATAGGTAGTACTTTGATGGAACTTTAGAATTAGAATTAGTACCTTAAGGCACATTAGCTGAAAAATTAAGAGCTGCTGGTGCTGGTATTCCTGCATTTTATACACACACTGGAACAGATACTGTTGTAGAGAAAGGTGGAATTCCAATCAAATATAAAAAGGGTGGAGACACAGTTGAAATTGAATCTAAACCAAAACCTGTAATATCTTTTTGTTTAACTGTTTTAGGTTGAATATTTCAATGGCAAGAAGTATATTAGAGAAGATTCTATTTGGGGAGACTATGCTTTGATTAAGGCTAATATGGCTGATACCAATGGTAATCTTAGATTTGTGGGAACAGCCAGAAATTTCAATTAAGACATGGTCAAAGCTGCTAAAGTTGTTATTGCTGAAGTTGATTCTATAGTACCAGTTGGAAGTTTTGGATTTGATTAAGCACATGTCAATGGAATATATGTTGATTATCTCTATTAAGGCAATAATTATCTTAAGACAGTTGAAAGACTTGTTTATGATTAAAGCGTGTATGATAAGAATAAAGGTATTATAGACATACTATTTTATAGATATCAAGCCATAAGGAAAATAAAATGCAATAAGAAATAGAATAGCAAAGAGAGCAGCCTAAGAATTTTAAGATGGTATGTATGTGAATTTGGGTATTGGAATACCTACACTCATACCAGCATTTCTTGATAAAAGCATGACAATTCATTTTCATACAGAAATTGGTGCTATTGGAGTTGGTCCATATCCTAAATTAGGCCAAGAATTAGGTGATCTTTAAAATGCAGGAAAAGAATCATGTACTTTGAATTCTGGTGCAACAACTTTTGAAAGCAGTGAATCATTTGGAATAATAAGAGGAGGACATTTAGATATGACAGTATTAGGAGCTATGTAAATTACAAAACAAGGAGATATTGCTAATTGGGTTATTCCAGGAAAGATGGTGAAAGGAATGGGAGGTGCAATGGATTTAGTTGCTTCTGGATCTAAAGTACTTGTTGTAATGGAACACACTGCTAAAGGAGAAGTTAAATTTGTTAATTAATTATAATATCCAGCTACAGGTATGAACAAAGTTAGTCAAGTTATTACAGGTATTCAATATAATTATTATTTTAGACAAGGCTGTATTTGTTAAGAGAGATGGACAATTGGTTTTGACAGAAATCTCTAGTGATACAAATCTTGAATGGGTTAGAGCTAACACAGGATTTGAATTAACAGTTGCCGACGATCTAAAAACCTTCTAAGTTTGATACAATATAATAATAATATATTAATTATGGTAAAATAATAAAAAAAGTCCAATTTCACTGTTATTCCTCCTCAATAAGACTTCTAAGAATAAGAAATTGAATTGTTATAAGAGGATCTCAATGATGATTTAATTAAAACATTATCAAAAGCAAACACTAATTCAATTGCCACTATTGTATAAATGATTTATTTATATTTAGAAAGAAAAAGAGAAAAAGGTTGTAGAATTTAAATCAAGAGTTCTTGAATTAGTTGAGATTTTTGTTTCAAATACAAAGAACCCTACCATATTTATTGAGAGAATTTATCCATTCATTAAAATGATTAGTGATTTCAAGAATCCTTAAAAAATTTAGTATATCAATAGAGTTTGTAAATTAATACATTAAATCATACAAAAAGGAGATTTGGGAGAACATATTGATAATATGAAATAGTGTTGTGAAACATTAATAACTTATTTACATAAATGCTAAGACAAATCTATTAATAAAAGATTCTTTGAATTACTTGATCTCATTTTAAAATAAATATCATAACATGATAAGAAAGCTGTTTCAGATATCATAGTCAAAGGTTTAGTATTAATGAGAAAGAACAGCAATATTTAAATGCAAAATATTAGAAAACTAATATTCAATTATTAATTTACACTTATTCCAGTTATACTTAAATTATGTCAATTAAGTGAAATTAATGAAAATTATGAAAGAAGTAAATATAATGTATATTATACATTCATATAATTTAGTTTAGTCATTTATTATTTACACTCATTTAAAATGAATAGATAAAGAAAAAGATAATATCCAAAGACAAAATCAAATAAGCAATTATTAAATTAGCTTAACATACTTTAGAGAATTATGCTTAATAAAATTACAAAAGAGTAGCAATTTTTAGATAAATTCTATTGTCATACAAATCATTAGAATTAAATGAACTATAAGAATAGATTTAGACATTCTAATCCGAAGATTAAAATATCTAACACATCATTACCAAATTATAATGAGTATATTATTCTATCAAATCATCAATTTCTTCTGATATAGTGGAACCAATTATCTATTTATCTCCAAGTGTCATTAAGAGATATGATAATTTCTTATTTAAATTTTGCAGTTGCTTCTTAATCAGATATATTTAATGCCAATTAATCTTCTATATATTTTACATTCGAAGCCTATTACAATTCAGGCATACCAGCAGATAAATTCATTAAAAATATATTAATAAGAAAATGACCATGTTTTCTAACCAAATTATAAGCATTTGTACAATCTTACTAAAACTTTTTAAAGAGATCTCCATCTCTTCCACCCATAACAAATGCCATCTAATAATTATAAATAATAATACTTCTTCAGTTAATACAAATTTAGTTCTCTCTCTTTTAATTCCAAATTTCTATTTAAAATTACCCAAAAAATGACCAAAATCAATATGAAATAGATGACCAGTGTCAGTTATCATTATATTACCAGAATGTCTGTCTCCAATACCAAGAACATATGTTGCAACACAATAGCCTGCACATGATCTTAGAAAATTATCAGTAGCTGTTTCAAATGATTAAGGTTCACTATTTTTCTTTTTCAAATGATTCCATATAGTTTTTTATTAAAATGCACCCATAAGACCTCCTTAACCATGAATTTTTTCAATAGTCAAGGAATTACTAACAACTTCAATCATTCCAACATTATCTTATGTAGATATAGTCTTATATGGTTTCATTCTAAAATCTAAACCATCATCTAACCAAATTTTATCCATAATTTTAATTAATTATAGTGTTAACATATCCTATCTAATATCATCACCAGTTTTAAATATGATTTTAAGTAGATGCTATTTATTTTACTCTTCTTCTTCAATTTATTCCTTTTAATCCTATTATTATTTAGTATTATTATGTAAATTTTCATCTTAAGGTATAATAACTGAGATATTTCCATTAAGGTTTTCTTCTTATTATTTGATATGAATAGGTTATTATAATTATAATTCATCATCATTTTCAAGACATTTAGGTATAACTGCTAGCCACAATGGCATTTTCTTAGAATCCATAACTTTACATTTATCATATTAAATTGATTAAGCTTCCATTCTTGAATCTAAAGCAAAAGAAAATGGTTTTGGTAATTTTGGATAAAGTTGCAATAATTCAGTCTTCAAAAAATTTTATCGTAAATCTTTTGGTACATTCTCTTCCTTAATCTTTTATGCTATATTAAATAATTCATTATCCACAAGTACTTCATTCATTAATTGTTCCCTAAATTCTCCACAAAGCATTAATAGTTATTCTAACAATAAAGAATATCTTTCATAAGATGGTCTTACATGTAATTAAGCCTTCAGCAACCAAAATAATTCATGTCCTACTACCCATGGATTTTGCAGACTTCTTTCTAATAACATTTCAGCTAATGGATTGAATAGATGTTTCTCAAACATTAAACATTATGTCAATTCTAACATGTATAATTGTAATTCATCATCAGATAAAATACTTACTCTTTCAACAGCATAGAGTCTAACAGTTTCATCTGCAAATTATGCATCCAATAATGGTAATGCATCTTCTGGAGGTAGAGGTGTCCATAATTTAATCATATTATGAGCTTCTCTGACTTATTCTGGATCATCCCATTCTATGGCCATTAAAAAGATTTATAATGCATAAGGTAATGTTTTATAATGATTCCTACAGATCATTAAAATATATTTATGTTAATCTGTATAATAAGGTCTATTTAATGGGTTGTATTTAAGCAATGCTTACAAGATGGCAAGATCTTCAGTTCTTGGAGTTGTTGACCAATTTTTATAAGGAAATACTTAATTGTAATTTTCTTGGAAACTCTAATTCTACTATATACTTTATTATGAAAATTAATGACTTAATTTAAAGGTACTCAATTAAGTACTAGATTAATCATGTACATTAAAACTGCTACCTTAATTCATATGCATCATTGACTATGCAAAATGTGTTTATCTATCTTGCATGTCTCCAAAACGAAGAATTGTTCCTTAATCTTATGAAGAATATCCAACTTACATATATTATTCATAAGGATTAGTATGTTATCTTTGATGTACATTATAAAATGATGCCATTCCAGTTCTTTATTTTTTTAAAAATAATTGAGAATTGCTAAAACTATTTGATTGTGAATTAGAATTTGTTTATTAATATGCTGAATTCTTATTTGTATTTTAGTATGCAGAATTGAATTAATCCTAGGTTAAGGCTGATGATTAAGATTATTGATAATTTGAATAATCAGAATTTGGAATAAATTTATTTCTCATTTCATAATATCTTTATGATCTAGCAGATTTAGAAAAACCTAATTCTTCCATTTATTTTTCATCTCTTAAACTCCATTTCATAGTTTAATTGAATTAATCTAATTATATTAATAATCTGCCATAAGATTTATTAACAAGTTGAGAAGAGATATAAAATTAATTTTTATTATTTTGTTAAGAAACAATCAATTATTAATTCTATTATTTAACCCATCCCCAATATTAACCCATACAAAGTAATCTAGGATCGATTTTATAAAATGGCCAGATGTTTAATTAATTAATGGATGATCTAAACTTTCTTTCTTCATAAAAAATATACATAGTTGTACATCCAATAATTTATTATTATCCAGTAGCACTATGTGCAATAATATTAAAACATAATCTAGCTTCTTATGGTAATTAAGATATTTTTATGCCTTAAAATGTAATAGTCTAATAAAATTTGGGACATTAACTAAATGGTTATTTTTTAGTTTCTGCTTGACACCAAGGAGTGAGTAATTTACATCCATGAAATAAACTTACTTATACTGATATTAAATAAGGTAAAAAGTCTAGATCATATCTCTCTTGTAAAGTGGCTAATTCATCAAGATTATCTTAACCTCCAAAAGGTATGTATCTTTTGATATCAATATTTTTATTTTCCAAAACACGTCCAGTTCTTTTGTGTAATTTAAGATGCACTTATTGTCTTTTATTATTAATGTCTGATTCATCATTTTTCTTATTACCTTATTTATGTTGTTCTTCTTCAACTTTAGTACCAGCATTCTTTTTAGTAATATAAAGTGGAGGTATTAATCCATTATAAGTGGCTCTTTAATGTTAATTTTCATATTTATTATCTTATTCTAATGTTTACAACAAATTCTCTAGAGAACATATCTTAACACTAAAAGGCCAATCACATTCACCAGAATAAAGTACATTCTATTCTATTTTTAACATATTTAATTTTTGTAATTCATTTCTCATAGATATCAAATCATATATTTATCCACTAGTTTTTTATTTTTATCCATTATTATCTTGAGATGGAGGACGTATAGGATTTTCATCAATAGATATTCTCTTAATTCTATCTTCATGATTAGTAAATAAATCTTGACTATTTGATACTTTAATCTTATCAAATTTTATTTATGGAGAAGGTCCAAGCCCAAGAGATAATCTAGTATTAGGTATTTCAGATTCATATTTTTTTAATGGTTATGGTGAATACCATAATAAAGCAGGAACATCTTTAAATTTACTCCAATCAATTTAGGGAAAAGGTTCACTTCCTTTAATTCTATGAATAATTGGAGGGAATAGAAATGTTTGATTTGATTATTTAGGAATTTCAGTTAAAATCACTTCCAAATGTTTCATTCCTCTTAATTAAACTCTTACACGATCATAGGATAACATTGGATGATTTCCTGTTAAAAACTCTTTAAAACCTGAAATTTGTAATATAAATTAATTGTTATCATCCTTTGGTCTTAATTTAACACTAAATCTTTAATATACTTCTCTAAGAACACTCTTAATAACTTCATCAGCTCCAGTTACCAAACCTGCCTCAATTTCAACAATATTAGGTTTTTCCATCAATTAAACTTCAGCAGGCATATTTTAGAATAATTCTTTATATTGATTCAATTTAACTTAAAGTTTAATTGAGTTTACTTTGACAAATGCTTAACTAAGAGTTGATTAACATAAATATGTTGGAATAGAGGAAGATTATTTATGTAACAAGTAAGACGGTATCTTTCTTCTACGATATTAATCTATTTACTTTGAAGCCATCAACCATGTACCTTAAAATCTAGAATATATAATATTACCTGTCTTTAATTTGAGCATTGATTCAATTTATTGGATTGCTTATAATGCTTTTTATCGATAGTCTTAATCTACATCCTATTCCACTCTTACTTCATTAGTATTTATGTTTAAAGTATAAATCTAACAACTATCAGGATCAGCACATATCAACCATTTCTCTTCTATTTACTACATTTATAATTATTTATATATAATTCAGAATCTGTATTTTTAAGTAAAAATACTTCTCAAATAACTAGATATATATATAAACAAATAATTTATTTTCATTATTTTAATTTAAGTAATTTCTAAAGGTCGTATTCAGTGTTAAATCTCTTACTGGATGATGAATTTCTGAAAGATTGAGTAGAAGAACATTATGATATTTAGGAATTCTTTACTGATTAAAATCTTGGACATACTGCACTTAATTATGGAGCTAATATAATAATAAATAATATACCATTCAAAGAAAGAGTTGTAATCTTATTTTTAATAATACTAGTTCGAAGTGAAGATCTTAAACTAGCATATTTGATCTTCTCAATAAATTATTCTCTTTTATTTTTAGATTAATCTGAAATAAAATCAAAATTAGGAAAATCTTTATCAAATTTTGTTTATTTTTCTCTATGTAAATTATCTTACAACTTTTATTAAAATTCTCTATCTCCTTTACTGAATTCAATTACATTATAATTTGTTTATAATGGTTAAGGTTTATAATGAATATTTAATTATTTTTTATAAAGAGCAGTATAATTAAAATTATTAAGCCATGAATGATTCAAAACATCTTCTATACCATTTATTTTTCCTAATCTTTCATTTTAATCTTTTGTCAATAAATGAAACAATAAATTTTTAAGTTGATCACTAATTTTAATAGAATCAGGAAATTCTAATTTATCATATTGAATAGAATTTAGAATGTTTTACAATTATTAATCATAATATGGAGGATAACCATATATGAATTCATATAATACTGCCCCTAAACTATAACAATCTAACATTTAATTATGTCCTCTTTTAGATACCATCTCAGGTGACATATATTCAGGAGATCCACAAAAAGAATATGTTACTTTATCTCTAGAAATATTAGGTTTTGAAAGACCAAAATCAGATAATTTAATATAACCATCAATATCTAATAAGATATTTTCTGGTTTCAAATCTCTATAAATAATATTTTATTAATGAAGATAATGTATTGCTAAACATAATTATCCAAAATATTGTTTTGCAACTTCTTCATTCAATGTACCCATTTTTCGAAGATGAAAGAATAATTCACCTCCATGACAATAACTACATTATATAAATATAATAAATACTCCATTACAAATACTAAATAGTATTTAGTTTCAAATGAACAATGCAATCTTGTTAGAAATTGACTATCCAGATTACTCATTATCCATTTTTCATTATTTATCATACTCTCTTTATTATTCTTTATTATAAATGATTTATCTATTATTTTCATTGCAAAGAATTATCCATTCTTTTTCTACTTTACTAAATACACTCTTGAAAAGCCTCTAAAAAATTTAAAATCTTTACCCTACTCCAATACATTTTATCAATATAAAATCATCAAAAGAATTACTTTTAGTTTCATTATAATAAATTGGAATCAATTTTAGAGTCCTCCCTTTATTGAACACTGATAATGGTTTATCATCTAATGATAAATAGTAATCCACATTGTAATTTTAGGTTTAGCATTAAAAATATGCTATCTTTTCATAATTTTATGGATCATGTATACTCATCTTTGTAATTAATTTCTAATATAGATCTGTTGTAGTTTAATCTAAACCAATCGGTACGATATACCTATATTAAATCAATATTTACTATTTATCCTAAGTTATCAGTGTAATTATAAGTTCATAATTGTCCCTATCACTATTTAAGGTTCTTATATGAGAAACTCCTTTTAGTTTCACAGCAGCTGTTANTTATAATGAATATTTAATTATTTTTTATAAAGAGCAGTATAATTAAAATTATTAAGCCATGAATGATTCAAAACATCTTCTATACCATTTATTTTTCCTAATCTTTCATTTTAATCTTTTGTCAATAAATGAAACAATAAATTTTTAAGTTGATCACTAATTTTAATAGAATCAGGAAATTCTAATTTATCATATTGAATAGAATTTAGAATGTTTTACAATTATTAATCATAATATGGAGGATAACCATATATGAATTCATATAATACTGCCCCTAAACTATAACAATCTAACATTTAATTATGTCCTCTTTTAGATACCATCTCAGGTGACATATATTCAGGAGATCCACAAAAAGAATATGTTACTTTATCTCTAGAAATATTAGGTTTTGAAAGACCAAAATCAGATAATTTAATATAACCATCAATATCTAATAAGATATTTTCTGGTTTCAAATCTCTATAAATAATATTTTATTAATGAAGATAATGTATTGCTAAACATAATTATCCAAAATATTGTTTTGCAACTTCTTCATTCAATGTACCCATTTTTCGAAGATGAAAGAATAATTCACCTCCATGACAATAACTACATTATATAAATATAATAAATACTCCATTACAAATACTAAATAGTATTTAGTTTCAAATGAACAATGCAATCTTGTTAGAAATTGACTATCCAGATTACTCATTATCCATTTTTCATTATTTATCATACTCTCTTTATTATTCTTTATTATAAATGATTTATCTATTATTTTCATTGCAAAGAATTATCCATTCTTTTTCTACTTTACTAAATACACTCTTGAAAAGCCTCTAAAAAATTTAAAATCTTTACCCTACTCCAATACATTTTATCAATATAAAATCATCAAAAGAATTACTTTTAGTTTCATTATAATAAATTGGAATCAATTTTAGAGTCCTCCCTTTATTGAACACTGATAATGGTTTATCATCTAATGATAAATAGTAATCCACATTGTAATTTTAGGTTTAGCATTAAAAATATGCTATCTTTTCATAATTTTATGGATCATGTATACTCATCTTTGTAATTAATTTCTAATATAGATCTGTTGTAGTTTAATCTAAACCAATCGGTACGATATACCTATATTAAATCAATATTTACTATTTATCCTAAGTTATCAGTGTAATTATAAGTTCATAATTGTCCCTATCACTATTTAAGGTTCTTATATGAGAAACTCCTTTTAGTTTCACAGCAGCTGTTACAACTAAATTAAAATAAGACTTTAATTATATACATTTCTAAACATCCAATAATTTTGGAGATTTAAGTTTTGCTAATCTTGGAGGTGATAATTATTGTCTTGGACTTAGACTTGGGTTTTATGACTCTGCTTTCTTCTTTTTTTTTAATAGTTCTAATAATTTATTGCTTTGCATCATTTGACAACTTTGAGTTCTACTCATAAATTTGTAAATATAAAAAAATGTAATGTATATTATTAATGTATTTTTTGACCAGATTTTTTCTAAATTATAAAATCTCTATTTTTTAAATAACAAAACATAGATAAGACTTTATAATAATTTATTCATAAATAGATATAATTCTAATTTATATTATTCATAATTTCAAGTTAAATATGATCTAATTGTAAGATTATACCTTATAATATAATTTTAAGTATTATTATAAATTTATTAAATTCTCCATCTTCAAATTATCAAGAAAATTGATATCATCAATAAATTTTATAAAATTATAATTTAAATTCAAATTAAAGTATGGATCAAATACCCAATAACAATCAAAATTAAGGATTGAATAGAAGTGATACACAAGCAATTCCTAAAAATTAAACAGGAAGAGTAATTTATTAAACATATTTTTGTTTATTGGGTACTACACTTTTAATTTTATCAATTATGTCTTATTATTTCTATAGTGATGCATTTGATAATTATAAATATATAATAGAGAACTGGTAGTAATAACCAATATAATCAATACGTTTGAGTTTTGATAAATGCAATAATGAAGTAAGTATGAAAATTATAAGTTAGGAAATAAATTTAATCAATTATAGATGGCCTGGTACAGTAGATGGATGTGATTGTCGTTATAGTTTTAGATTATTATCTATTAAAACTAATAATCATCATACATGGTTTCCTAGAAATAAGATTTATAATAATCATGCTTGTAACATAACACAAAGAGCATGGGGATGTATCTCGATTTATGCAAAAGATGCTATCAATTTTAATAGATTTCCAACTTAAAATCAAAAAGAAGGGTTTAAATTATGTGCTATACTTGAAAAAGACAATAGTTTTTATTCTCATTTGCCTGAATTAGATGAATGTCCAAAAGGATAAATAAAATGTGGAAATGAGGTCAATTATTTTTATTGTACAAGTTAATCTTAATGTCCAATATTTGAAATAGGCTTTAAAGATGTTACTTTAATTGATAATTCATAAGAATAGACAGAAAAGGGACTTACATTTTTATATAATCGAAAAAGTGAATATAAATTACCATTAGTGGAAGTAAGAGTTTCAGAAGGAGAGGGTATATGTATGAAGAATCATTTGAGAGGATTAAGTAATGGAAGAGTTGAATATCCATTAATGAGAGAGAATAAGACTGAATGTTAAATTGATAAAAGATTTATTAAACTAAAATCTTCAAATGAAGTTGAGTTTTATGAATCTAATAATCAATTAAAAATATAAGATTAACTTAGAGGATATGAGATTTCAAAATAATATTAATGGGGTATTTGAGAATTTAATAAAGGTCTTTATGCTAGAGGATATATAGAATGGAAAATGTCTTGTAGAGGAGAAATGTTTGATAATTTTATTGATTAAGAATAAATATTGGAAGAGATATTGTATACTTAAAAGTATTTGATGATAGTTTCAATTATATTCTTTACTATAATTTCTGTAATATGGAGTTATGTATAAGCCCATACTTTGTAAGGTGGAGATTGGCCTTGCATTAAAGGACGTGGTACTGAAGAATCAAATACTATATTTTATTTGGAAATATTGACAAAAATAATCCTCTAGAGTTTATAGGCATTTATAATAATAATGAGTTTTAGTAGAACAAAGGAAGAAAGTAATTTCTTAGAAAGTGTAATTTAAAGGAATTGTTCTGATGAATTTGTTTAATTATAATTAGAGTATTTAAGAGATATGTTAAGTGAAAACATTTATAGATTTAATTGGGGATGTTTAATATTATTTTGTATAACAACAGTTTTGGATTTTTGTGTAGTATCATATTTGATAATTTCATTTATAAGAGACAGAAAAGATAAAGAGAATCGATATGAATAAAGAGATGAAATTAAATAGAATTATGAATTAAGTTATATGTAGTAAGAGATGGGAAATCAAAATTAATAATAATAATAATAATAATAATAATAATTCAATAATTAATCCCCATATTTTAATTGAATTATAATAATAATTATTTTTATATAATCAATTATTACTTTTGAAGAAGGACTCCAAATATGCAGTAAATGCGAATGCTCTTAAATAACTATTTTCCTATTGTTTCTGTTTGCTATCTCTATAAAATTCCAATAGACTTTTTTCTTTAATTAATTCTGTAATCATTTTTCTCTATTCTTCATCTACAATATTTTTGCCCTTGTTAATTGAATTTATATATTATTAAATCTAACTTTAAATAGAACAATATTTAATCCTATACCATAAAGCTAAAAATCCTTTTAGAATAGTAAGTATTGTTAAAATGACTGATATAAATAATATTAAACCTTAGGGAAGTAAATATATTTATATCTAAAATAAAATTAATAGAACTGCAGTAACTAATGTATTAAGTACTAACCATGTTAATAAAAATTTAAATTTTTAATATGCTTTATCTGAATTAACAGAATTAGATCCTGTATTTGTCAATCCTTTTGTTCCCCATGATAAATCATCTATTCTGCAAAAAGAATAGATTACAAATAAATGCATATAAGTTGGTTAATAATAAAAATATGGGATCATAGTTAAAGCTGCATTGAATATATTCTATGGTAATTAAAATAATGATGATAATATTGGTATTATAATAGATCCTATTGATATAACAACAAGAACTAAATAATAGCTCTATGGAACTTGAGGTTTTTCTACTATATCATTAAATCCATAATTAAAGAATATTTCTGTAATTAATAAATAGATTGTATATACAACTGTACCAAGACTTATGAATCCTAAACATGTTGATACAAAAAAGAGTCTAGAAAAGTAATAATCTGTTTCTATTTTTTCTTTCTCTTTTTCTTATTTTCCCAATTCTTTAATTAATGCAGGATCATAATTAATAGACAAATAAATAACCATAAATACCAAAAATACATAAAAAGCAATAACTGTTGAAATAATAAAATTATTTAATCCAAGATCTCCTGTATCTACTATAGCATACATAATCATATAAAGCCAAAGAATTTAAAATGATTCCATAAAATATATCATAAGTTATTAAATCTTAGCTTAAGTAATAGATAATATAAATTTTTATTTATCCCACCAAGAATGTTTACTAGTTTTTAAATCTTAATCATAATTATCAGATATATATGATAAAGCATGCCATGATCCATTAATCCATCTTCTTCTTTATTAAATTAATTATTTTAATGATGTACATGGATCAACATAAACTAAAGCATTAGGTATATATCTCAAATGATATCCATTACAAAATAATAATTTACATAAAACTCTATCTTCAGCTAAAAACATATTTGCTTCTTATAATGTTTAATGTTCATAATTTTAATCCAATACTTATCTCAAATATTTATCCAAAATCCCGTCCTCTTATTATGGTATTAAGATATTTTAATTTTAATTCTCTTAATTACATCGTTACTAGTTTCTAGCATCTTTATAATTTACAAAAAATGCTTTATATCTATATGCAGAAAATGCACCAGGCAATACATGAATAAAATCAAGTGCTGATTCTGCTTATTTATCTAGTAAATGTGCAATATCATATTCACAAGATTAACATTTTTAAATTGAAAACACTTTATTTACTAAAATATTTGTCACTATATCTAATTCAACATCATCTTTATCTTCTTCTTCAATTTAAACTCTCATTGTTCCACAAACTCCTCCTAACTTTGGATTCTGTTCCATAGCCATTATTAATGAAAATATTGCATCCTTTTAAGGATTAGCACCAACATCCATTAATACACAATATTTTGGTTGTAACAATTAACAAAAACCTTTAAAAAACCACATATGAGATGATAATTTAGAACCATTAGTAAATTTAAATGTATAAAATATTGGAAGTATTCCCTTTGAATTAACATCTAATAAACCATCTTAATAAACCCAAGCAGTATTTTTTCTATTTTCTAAATATTATTTTGCTATTTAATACTGATTTTCCATAGCATCAACAATATTTTATTCTATATATTCATCTTATTCAATCAAATTATATTTTTCTCCTTTTAATCTTTCCATTGTCTTTTTTAAAGTATCTCTATGTTTTTTATACTTTTTTAATAATTGATCTGTATTAGCTCTTAAATACTTAATATTATCTGGATTATAATCCTAAAATCGTTTCAATTATTCTTAATATTTATTGTATTAATAAGCTAGAGTCTATTCTCTTTGAAATCCATATTTTTTATCAATTTCACTTTCAAAGTAAGCTAATTTATAAAAAATTAAATAAATACGAATAATATTATCTCTATAAGCTCCTGGTTTATGACAAATATTAACTATTCCATCAAAAATTACTGTTACTGCTATTTAATGTGGTGCTATCCCACTAATTTCAAATATTATTAATACATTTTTAAAAAAGCTTCTATATCCCTTCCAACTCCATTTATAGATTTTTCTAATTCTGAATATTTTTCAGAATACATTGTAATACAGATCATAACTTTTATTCTATTTTATTCAAAGATTTCTTTTTCAATTACATCATCATTTTTTGGTTATTAACAATTATTTATTAAAGCACTTAATAATCCTTAGTGTTATTCTGATTATAATTAATTCTATAAATTCTAAGTTTAATTTTGATTTTATCCTTATTAATGAATTACCTATGTTTAATTTTAATTAAGATTCTTTTTAAATATATCTATTGGTTATAAATTTAATATTTCTCTTTTATCTAACCCCTCCTCTTACTCTTATTAATTTTAATAATAATTTTTAACATACCTTAACCCATGTTCTTTATTTAATTCTAATTCAATAGGTCCATATATTTTTTAATGTGTTAAATCTTAGATAGAATTGTCATTAGCTCTATTGAATTTACGAGTCGTTAATAAATGGTTTGACATTAAAGAATTATTTTTAATATTATTATTTATAATCAACTCAAATGGATTTCTTTTCACTCAATATATATTCTATCTAAGATTGTAATTAACAATTGCATTTTAAACATAAAATATCAATCTCTTTCATTATTATATCATGATATCTATTAATATTTTGATCAATCAATATGTAAATCAATTTCTAAATAAATTTTATTATAAGGTTTAGTATCCTTTTCTTCAAAATAGTACTCCCCAAATCTCAATTGATGTTAATTAATTTAGAAATACTGTCATAATAATTACATTTAAAAACTCAGATTCCTATAGAAAAAACCCATTTCATAAGTTTCATCACATGATTTATTCTTCAATTCGTTGCATTTTCTTTTAAGACTCTCTTCAATCAAAATTCTAAAATTTCCTTTGCCATTTCCATACCTAAGCTATAAGGTTAAGGCATTTTTAAATTGAAAGCTTTGCCATTTATATAACCATAACATTATTTTTGATTTTGTATCAAATGTAATCATAAATAATTGCTTTAGATATTAGTTACTTAGATATTATAATTATACAAGTTTAAGAATTCTTTAATTACTGTACTTCCTTACTTGGAATCTGAGTAAATGAATTTCAATACGTATTTATTGTTTCCTTTTCATTTTCCAAATAACCCAAGCTTATCAATGTAAATAATTCAAATTTCTCAAACATTCTAAATTTATTATCTCTTATATAGTAAACTCATTACTCTTTAAATAAGAGTTCTACTAAATTTTAATATCAACTTCTTACATGTAATCAAAAAAATTAGTATCATCTATCTAATAATTCTTAGAAGGTTCACTCATTCAATTATATAGTTTAATTGAGAAATCAGAATTTTCAAAAAACTTTGGTACCATTGATTTCTGTGTCAGATATCCATTTCTATTTAAATCATATTATTTTGAATTTGTATATTGAAACATGACATTTTTATAGTTTAAAATAGACTTTTAGAATATCATGTTCAGAATCAGGGAATGTCACTTTAGTATGTTTCTTGATAGATTTAGATTCAGATTCAGATCCTCCAATTCTAAAAATAAAATATTTATTTTATTAAAAATATAAATTAATTCAATCATCATCCTCACTACTCTCATCTTCTTCAGATTCTTATTTTTTCTATTTTTTATTTTATGGTTTTTTGGTAGCTTTGGCATCATCCTTCTTCTTCTTTCTTTCATTCTTAATCTTTCCATATTTATCTTCATAAGTTCTATTAATATATAAATTGATATGAGAACTTCTTTTCTTTTTCAAAGATAGCTTTACTATCCTTATATTTTTATTCGTATTAATCAATTTTATCTTTGGGAAGTTGTTTATACTATTCAGAAATTATTTTTGTGATATCGGTCATTTTCTTACCGGGATTGGCATCCTTGACTTATTAGTACACCTCCTATTTGTAAATAAAGAAAGCGCATTATGGTCTTTTAGGTGGTGCTTCCTAAACAAATTATTAATTTATATATATACCTTTTTAGTATTATTATCTGTCATTTGTTTTATGTTAATGTATTTTCTTATTTAAATTGAGATTCAATGCTTTTTGTTTTAATTAAAATTTCAATCCAAAAAAATCCCTATATAATTATAATCAACCAATAAAATTACATAAAACATTCCATCAACTCCTCCCCCTTTAAAATCCATTCATTTCCCGCCAATTTGCTGCAATTACAAACATAAAATTTTATCTGATCAATTATTTTACTCACTAATTCCTTATCTCATCCTTATACTATCTGAATTCTCCCTTCCTATATTATTTTCAGTTCTATCCTCAATTTTACAGATCATAATCAATCTTAATTTATTTCTTTTTAACTTAAAGTTTTCCAAATTTTTTATTAATACTTTCAAATACATAAAAACTACAAATGAGAATATTTACATTGAAAAATTACTCATATAATCACAAATTTATACATATCAATTAATTTTTTAAAGACAATAAATATCATAAAATCATTCTAATAATTTTATGTTCATATTATATAATACTATCTTAAGATGAATAGGAATACATCTAAATTACTTAGATAATGATATTTAAATATAAAAATAGATGAAAGTAAAACACTTATTAAATAATTAGAATAATTTTATATAAAATTCTCTATTTTAATAAACAATAATTAGATATAAATTGCAGATGTATTTAGTAGAGCAATTAATTGTTGAGATGTTTTAAAGACTTTAACTATTTTTTACGAATTATAAATATAGATAAATTACTATAAAAGTAAGATAAGATTAGAAATAATTTTATTGAAATAAAAATTCATTAAAAATCTATAGATATTACATAATAATAAAATTTTCATTTTTAAATAATATATATTCAAATATCTCCAAATATAGAAGAGCCATCTATAATCTGTAATGTTTTTGGTTTAACAATTGTAACTTAGGATACTTTCTTAAATGATGATAATTTTGAAAACACTACACAGGGATATAACTCATTGTTAACATCAAAATAAATGCTCTTAAATATAAGTTAAAAATTTTACAAATTAAGACTTTTCTTTATATTTTTTCCATTTTATATATTATTTTTAGAAATTAACAATAACTATTATGATGTCTGATTATTGGAATTCAAAGGTTTATCCTTACAATAATCCATATTCTTAATTAGGATATATACTACCATAATTATGAAATAGATATAAACTAATTATTTAATAAATAAAAATACCCTTGAGTAATTTGGGATTAGTTATATTAATAATTTTATTAAATAAAGATATCTTTATTACAAACACCAATACCAATATTTCCATCAATTTTATTAATTTTGAATGCAAATTTTGATATATCATTTTTATATAATCTCTATTCGCAAATGACTCCTCCATATAATTTTGATGAAGCAGAAATTCTCATCTTGTCAAGTTTGATATGTTCATTTTTAGAAATTTCAGAAAACTTTATTTCTGGTAATGATACTCTATGATCTAAAAATGTAAAATCTTATTTAATATCATCTTAACCTAATTTTATAATCTAATCAGATTAATCATTTTATTTTTAAATAGTTATATTTGGAAAGTATTAATAAAGTTATTAGAATTAACTTAGACAACCAAGCAAGCATTTTTACAAATTCTAAATATATTCATCTTCCACTTATTATAATTACTTATTTTAAAATTATGATTAATATTATGTAATTACAATGTCAATTTTTGAGATTTAATCTTTTAATGCTTAAATATCTTCTTGGATTTTGAGTATAATTAATGGTAAATTTATTTTTGAATTTTCAATTGGGATTTATCCTGTCATTGAATTCTTTTTTTGGATTTTACCTTTTGACTTTGGATTTAGAGACATTTATTATTTAAATCTATTTAACTTGTATTGTTATTTTTTTCCTCTTCTTTTTGATTTGTAATTTAATATTTATGAAGGTTTTTATTATTTAAATAGCTCTTTTATATCCTCTACTTATTATTACTGTATTAATGGCTATACTTTTTATTCTTGTTATTCTTCATAACCAAATAAGTTGTCAAATTACATGAGATGATAATATTAATGGAAATGTTCTTTTAAATAATATTTGATAAATCATAAGATTTATTTTTCTGATTAATACTTTTTAAATTGATTATATAAATTATAATGATAAAATGAGTTTCAAGTCTTCTTTTCTTTTTTAGCAGAAGCAGCTTCATCAGAAGTACCTTCAACATCAAGAAGAAGAGCTACTCCAGCTAAAATCCATTTTCTTGGATTGAGTCTGGTTTTAAGTTATCCAGTAAAGATGTAGGTATTACCTCTATCTTCAGTTCTATAACATGGACATTAATAAATAGCTTTATCTTCTTTGCCTTCTGCAGGCACCATGAGTGCTTTACAGTAGACAACAGGTAGGACACTAAACATTTCTTTAGGTTTTGATTCTTCAAGTTATCCTGTGACTACATCCCAACGAGCTAGAGAGAATTAAAATGAAATATATACCTCCTTCTAACACGAATCCAAATACATAGGCGCCATCTTTTGCAATTTAATCAATTTCTTCAATACTCTTTTTGGTTACTTCAGTGGCTATGTATAATCTATTTAATTCTTGAGCTCTTTGTCTACCAATAACTTATTTGATAGCTGTCAAGAAAGATTAAGGATTGAAGAATCTACCAATCATTGTGACTTTAGGGATAGCATAAGGATCATCTCTAAATAGATTAAGTTATTCAATTCTTTTGAGAAGATTGGTTAACCAAGAAGCCAAACCTCTCTTTGAAGGATAAGCCAATGCAACCCAAACAGTTGGTACTCTATTCAAAGCAATGGCATCAATAATTTATTCCATTTATTCTGAAATTGTAAGAATACCTCTAAAACCTTGATCAATTTCATCCATAGATCTTACAATTTCAATTAATAAGTAATTCATATATTCAAGTTCCTACAAAAACACATTTTAATAAGGTCCTTTATTTTCAGCATCAATCTTATTCTTAATTTCATCAATATTAAATATCATAGATTTTAAGTTAATATCTTCAGCCAATTATTTAATAAGTTCTTAAACAATTTCGTTCTTAGTTCTCATACCACTTGCATTCTCATCACTAGCACTATCTTTTGGTTGTAATTCTAAAAGTGTAGAGAAGAGAGTTAAACATTATTATGTTCTGAAACCTATTTCAGCATTTGAATGTAATCCATAAGCAAGAGGAGTTTCTTAAGTGAGTACTTATTCAATATGTTCTATGTATTTTTCATAATTATTTGGTGGAGGAACTTTGAATGATAAATTCTTGCCTTCAATGAATGGGAATAATTCCAATTCATCAAATATTCCTTCATGCATGATATTATCCAAATAACCCATGCATAATCTTCTATCCCAATCATCTACAATGTGACCACCATACATGATTTCACCAAAGATATATCTTAAATCATCAAATGGCACTTTACCACCAGCTCCTTATTCCATATATCTATTCATGACTAAATAGGAATCTCTCAAATCTCCCATATTGAATGGATAAGACATATTCCATCCTTTAGGCCCAAAACGTCTTCTTTCAATAACAGTAGAATGGAAGAAACATAAACCAAAGAGAATTGATTTAATTTTAGGATCTTTGTCTTCTATTTCATCTTTACTGAAATAAGCCCATGCTCTCTTCATATTAGCTCTTAAACCAGCAGGTGGTTCATTAGTTAATTTAATTGATCTATCCAATAATCCAATAGGAATTCCACTTGAAGGTTCAGCTGATAAAAACAATCTAAATCTAGGATTACCACCACCTTATTCTCCAGTAAATGAATCCAAAATCTTTTCTAATTCTAATAACCATTTAGGCATTAAATGAATATTTTATAACATAACCCAATGTCCTTCCTTATTACCTTCTTCAATTCTACGTCTAGCAATTTCATCTTAACCTTATCCTAATGAAATATTCCAGAATGATTTTCCTGGTTCAATCTTATTTAATCTTGCTAATTTTTCTACTTCTTTTACAGGATCTGCTCCTGGAGATAAAATGAAGAAAATTGGAATAGTTGCATCTGAATCATCAACTGATCCAGAAAGAACATCTGAAAAGTTTAGTTTTGAATCCATTTCAACAAAGGATTCACCTTAAGGTAATGCTTATCTAATGAAATTAGTTAAAGCAGATGTAATACGATCTGGTCTTAAACATCTTAAGACTAATAATTTTTTGAATGGCATTTAATCTAATCTCTTCCAATCAAATGGTAATTTAACATCTTCTGGTTATAATTCATTATACCAATCTTTAAATCTTATTGGAGCATCTTTTTCCATATTTTAAGCAANAACAATTTCGTTCTTAGTTCTCATACCACTTGCATTCTCATCACTAGCACTATCTTTTGGTTGTAATTCTAAAAGTGTAGAGAAGAGAGTTAAACATTATTATGTTCTGAAACCTATTTCAGCATTTGAATGTAATCCATAAGCAAGAGGAGTTTCTTAAGTGAGTACTTATTCAATATGTTCTATGTATTTTTCATAATTATTTGGTGGAGGAACTTTGAATGATAAATTCTTGCCTTCAATGAATGGGAATAATTCCAATTCATCAAATATTCCTTCATGCATGATATTATCCAAATAACCCATGCATAATCTTCTATCCCAATCATCTACAATGTGACCACCATACATGATTTCACCAAAGATATATCTTAAATCATCAAATGGCACTTTACCACCAGCTCCTTATTCCATATATCTATTCATGACTAAATAGGAATCTCTCAAATCTCCCATATTGAATGGATAAGACATATTCCATCCTTTAGGCCCAAAACGTCTTCTTTCAATAACAGTAGAATGGAAGAAACATAAACCAAAGAGAATTGATTTAATTTTAGGATCTTTGTCTTCTATTTCATCTTTACTGAAATAAGCCCATGCTCTCTTCATATTAGCTCTTAAACCAGCAGGTGGTTCATTAGTTAATTTAATTGATCTATCCAATAATCCAATAGGAATTCCACTTGAAGGTTCAGCTGATAAAAACAATCTAAATCTAGGATTACCACCACCTTATTCTCCAGTAAATGAATCCAAAATCTTTTCTAATTCTAATAACCATTTAGGCATTAAATGAATATTTTATAACATAACCCAATGTCCTTCCTTATTACCTTCTTCAATTCTACGTCTAGCAATTTCATCTTAACCTTATCCTAATGAAATATTCCAGAATGATTTTCCTGGTTCAATCTTATTTAATCTTGCTAATTTTTCTACTTCCTTTACAGGATCTGCTCCTGGAGATAAAATGAAGAAAATTGGAATAGTTGCATCTGAATCATCAACTGATCCAGAAAGAACATCTGAAAAGTTTAGTTTTGAATCCATTTCAACAAAGGATTCACCTTAAGGTAATGCTTATCTAATGAAATTAGTTAAAGCAGATGTAATACGATCTGGTCTTAAACATCTTAAGACTAATAATTTTTTGAATGGCATTTAATCTAATCTCTTCCAATCAAATGGTAATTTAACATCTTCTGGTTATAATTCATTATACCAATCTTTAAATCTTATTGGAGCATCTTTTTCCATATTTTAAGCAAATAATTTGAATTCTTCTAATTAAATTAATCCTTGTACTGAATCCCAAGCATTTTATGATAACCAATCTAAATTATTTTCAACACCTGCTCTAGGTACACATTTAATAAGGAAATCCATTTCAGCTGGTTCATAAACAACTTCAATTACTTTCTTTTACATTAATCTAAATGCAATCAAAGTTAAAAAGATTAATTTGTGTTTTTCAAATAATCCTCTACTTATCCATTAATAAATTGTATATCTAATATTCTTTCTTAATTCTTCAGTTCTTGTTTCATCTCTTATAGTTGTTCTTTCAATAGCTTTAAAGAAGAATTTATTAAATGATTCTAATGAATATTGATACATATGTTCCATAACACTTAATTGAATTACTAAGAAATAAAGCATAGCCCCTTCAGCAGCTACAATTCTATAAATTTCTCTTTATTGATTAATTTCAACTTCAGTTACTTTTGCTATCTTACTTTATTCAGTAATAGTATTAGATGTTTATTTAGTATTATCTAGATTTGCAATTAAACTCTTATTTTCTAAAATAGTTGAAGGATCAGCTTCTGATAATTAAATCAAAAGATTTTCCTCTAATTTATCTAATTATACTGAAAACTCATTTTATTATTTGACCAATTCTGATCTCTTCATTTCTAATTCATTTCTTTCAATATTCACAACAGCAGCAAGTAATTATTCTTCTAAACCTGATTCAGTAACAATGAAGTTAATAATAGTACATTATGCAGCTATTTCTGGTCTGAAATGTGGATTGTACAATTTAGTCATTAAAAATAGTTTGAATTTTGGATCATAATCAATTTATTCACCTGCTAATTCTAAATAAGCACTCTTTCCTTTTTTAACAATAGCTCTACTCAATAGAGGATCAAGTGTGGCATCTATTTCTTATTAAATACCTTCCAACAATACTGCTTTACCCATAGGAATAGAAGCATTTAATTATTACAACCACTTATTTTAACTGACATTTATAGTAACCAAATTATCACCTTATGATCCTCTAATCCAAACTGAACCTTATAATTATGGATCAATAATGAGTGGCCATCTTGAACAAGCACTAATAATTGAGGCATTTTCCAATGACATTTAATCTGATTACAATCCCTCATTCTTCCAACTAGCAATTTTAGCTTCAGTAGTTAAGATTTTAAGTGGATCAATACCTTAAGTCAATGGAATCTATTTAGTTTATAAATCAGTCAACCAAATCTTTGACCATAATTCTAATCTCAATTTAGCTGAAAATGCACCAATATATGATACAAAAGCAGCAGCCAATAATGCATTTCCTACAACAGATTTAATATTGCTAGACAATTCTTTTACATTTTCTCCCCAACGTTTATTTTCACCTGCTAAACCATTCACTAATTTTTCAGCAGCTGATAATTTCTCTTAACAAGCATTAGCATCAGCTTCTACTAATTATTTAACTCTTTCAGCTTCTTCTAAATCACGTTTTAATTTATTAACTTTTTCATTCAATGCTCTAACCTTCTCTTTAACAACAGCTAATTCTTTCTTCTTTTATTCTAAATCAGCCATTGCAGCATCTCTTGATTTTTCAAGTGGATCAACCAACTTGAAAATTGTGTTAAAAGTAACAATGTTAACAGCCCAAGCACATAATTTGGATGCAGCATAATTTTATCCTTTCATAGATTCTTCATTAAATTTCAAAGCAGGATCTTCTATTATTTTATTAACAGATGCCAATATTTATGGATCAATTTATTTACCATTAAAACCAATAATTCTATCTAAAAATTATTATGGATTGTTCATGACTTATTATGATTTTTTCCATAATTTATCTTCTGGATCTTATAATGTAATCTTTTCTCCTAATAATATTAAAACAGCTCTAGCGGTTGTTAACACACCAGTAGGAGGTGAACCTAAAGATTTCATTTCTGTAATTTATGGTTTCTTAATACAATCAACAGCAGCTTTGGCTTTCTCTAAAGCAGGTATTGCTTTTTCTAATTCAATTCTTGCAGTTTCTGCTAATTCTTCTGCTGCTTTTGATGCAGTATTAGTTTTATCTTCTTCTTCATTTGCAATCTTTTATTCAACTTCAGCAACAGCAGATTCTTTACCTACTTTTTCAATAAGGATATCTGTTTCATTCTTTTTTTTATCTACTTCCACCATTTTTATTTTCAATTCACCTTATAACAATTATACTTTGCTTTGTGTATCAGCTAAAATCTATAAACCTTATTCATATCTTTTGATTTATTTTAGAATCTATTCTCTCTTTTCACCCAATAATTTCTTATAATATTCAATCAATTCTAAAAATGATTTTGGTGTAGTATAATTATATCTTCTTTCTAATTACAAATATTTTTGATTAGCATAATCAATTGAAAGATGGACTTCAGCCATATGAAGTGAAATGATTTTTCTAAGATCATCAGTATCCAATTCAATATCTTAAATGAATCTATATGACACATCAATAAGTGCATCTTTTGGCCATGGATGGAACCAATCAACACTTGTTGAATTGATAATACCTGGGAATTTACGAGATCTTATACGCATAGTATCACCAACTGGAGAGAAACATAATACAACATGAAGATTTCTTCTCATTTTATCTAAAAAGTATTATGTGATTGATTCTAAATTATCTAATACACCTGCTCCTTTAGCTTCATTTCTTAATCCTTATATCATATTGTCATAATCTTCTTTAGGAAAGAGATCAAATATCCAACCAGAATTTAACATATCATTAATAGGAATCAAAAAGATTTCCTCTTTGATTTAAGAATCTGTCAAAATGTAACATCTACTTCCTGCACTTGGTTTAGCTACTTTCTTATAGATTTCTTATAAGTAATTTCTTAAATCATTTATAGTGAAATTTGATGTAACTACCATTTAATCAGCTTCATATCCTAAAATAAATGTTGCCAATCTTGTAAGTGATTATTTACCTGAACCACCAACACCAACTAATAATGCATTACCTCCTGGTAATTCTAAAATACGTGCTATTCTACAAACATGTTCCATAGCCTACTAGAATAACACTAAATTCATCATAGCTTTCACTTCATTATATTCTCTTAATTTATCTTCCAAAACTTTCTTTAAAGTCTAAGGATCACAATTTGTATATTGTTATTCTTGACCAATATGGGCTGCTACAAAACTTGTAAACACATTTGGTTCTTCTAAAGGATTATCTTTATCATCAGGTTCTCCAATATTTTTGACCATTGCATCTTTAACATAATCTCTAAAGACTTTTATATCTTCTTCATTAATGAATCTATCTTCAAATACTCTTTTAGATTCATGTGCCCATAATCTTAACATTCTATTTGGTTATCCTCTATATTAATTAGGGGTTGATCTCATCATACCTTCAACTACTTTTGCAAGTTCTCTGAAATTAAATTAATAATGAAATTTTCTAGCTGAGGGAGAGTATCTTGTATCTTTAAGAACTTTATTAAATAAGTGAATTGTTGCTTCAATTAGTTTATCAGATAACTTATGTATTTTATCATCAAATGTAGCTAAATGACTATTTAAAATAGCACCAAAAATAGTTTTAATGATTTCAGCATTAGGTGTATACATAGTGAATACAGAAAAGTTTCTTTGTAATCTTAAATCTATAATGAAAGATCCTGATTTTTGATTTAAAGCACTAAAAAAGAGTAAATCTTAAAGGAATTTTCTTTCTTCTAATTATTCTCTATTGAAAACACTTCCATAATCTACTACTTATCTTAATAATTAGATAGGTTATTATGTACCATATTTATCTACATATGGCATATTCATATCATCAATAAAACAAATTAATGCTTTTCCTGTAGCACTACCAAAAGTTCTACCAGATTTCTTTTCAACCATAGATTCTATATTCTTCTATAATGCTAATGAATCAGTAAATGATGAAAAGTTGATAGTTTTATATGATACTTGATCTGTTTTAGTTTAACTCAAATAATCTTTGATAACAGCAGATTTACCAGTACCTGCAGATCCTACAAATAAAACACACTTCTTTCTTCTGAGATGATAATCTAATAAAGTTCTTAATCTAGTTGTATGTAGAGTAGCAACATAGATTTTAGAGAAGATAGCTTCATCAGTAGCAATATAAGGTACTACTTTACCTTGCCAATGAGTCCATTTTTATTCAGCAAAATCAAAGTAATAATCGAAACACATACCTTATTCTGGCATTCTTACTTTAGCAGCAGCTTTCCATACAGAATTGAAATCTTTCATATCTTTTTCATCATCTTATCCTCCTCCAAAACAACCACCAATAGCCCACATTCCTGCATAAATGAAATAAGCTTCATAAATCATTTTTTGATCATCTTCTTTCATTTGTGCAATCTTTGTATAATCTGTTTCCAAAAGTAATGCATCCAAAATCATACAGATAGTCATAACTTAAGCAATATCAACTTATGGAACTATTAATCTGACTTTACTTTTATCTCTGATATCTGGATTGGTTTCAAAGTATTATTAGAAACATCTATAGAATACAGATTTAGCAATATCATCAATTGGAGGTGATTATGGTACTTATCCCATCAATCCTTCTCTTTTCACTACACATTTTTCAAATGATCTTTCTAACCAACTATTCATATAAGGCATCCAACCAATATCTGTTTCATTAATAAACAAGACACCACCTCTAGATACTGTAGCAGGAGTAGCATTCTTAAGATTTGAAATTTCAAATAACAATCTCATTGATGGAGTCAAAGGAATACGATCATTTGACACAAGTGTAAGTACTTTATTATCATCCATAACTGTATTTAAAGATTCAATCCATTCAGGATCAATATCACCATCTAAGATTGACCATTTATGTAAATGACTAGGTTTATACTTTTCCTCACATTTATTTTAATTCTTCATAATCATACTTAAAACACCATTCTTCCATTCCTTTGTTTTAGTATAACATCCAAATAATTCATCTGATGTCACTGCCTTAGGATTTAGAGTATCTAATTCATAATCTTCTCCTCTATTTTAATGAGTCTTTGCCAAAGTTTTCCACACACTTGTTTTACCACAACCTGGTGGACCTATAACAAATACACAATGTCTCACTTCCAATATTTCAGCCAATTACACTATCTTTAATACAAACATTTCTTCAGCAACTAATCCCATATCTTATTTAGTTGTATCAACTACAATTTTCTTTAAATCAGGATTTGTTTTACTTTCACATTCAATTCTTGGGAATAAATCTCCTATCAAACCTAAAAAGATTGGTTTATCATCTGTAACAATCTTTGGCATATTGAAATCTCTTAGAGCTCTCATCAATAATGGATCCTCTGCTATTTATGGATCTGCTCTCTTCAATTTACCAGCTTATCTTAACACTGATTTTACTGCTCTCAAACCCCAATCATAATGTCTAGCTTTTGATAATAATTCTCTTGATAACATATACAAAGATACGAATTTTCTACTTAATGCTCTTGCTTATTAGAAACCTTCAGACATAAGCATATTTTCACAAATCAATACTAAATCTGGTACAACCATAGCACATGATCTAAACAATGCTTTTAAATTTTCAGGTAATTCAGTTCTACCTGCATATCCTGGATTCATAGTAATAAAGAATCCTACAGTATCTTATATTGATATTTCTCCTTCTTCCATAAATATTAATTTAGGTTTCTTTTCCTTTAATGCATCCAAAATAGTTTTAACTTATGTACTAATGACAGATAACACTTCTATTGCTATTCTATTAAATTCATCAAAACATCCCCATGCTCCTGATTAAGACAAACCCATAAAGATTTGAGCCATTGAATCTTTACCCATTTGATCTGAACAATTAAACACCATGACTGGTAATCCTACTGCTCTACCTAAATCTTTTGTAGTTTCAGTCTTTCCAGTACCAGCTGGACCTGCAGGTGCACCACCCATTGTAAGATTCAATGCTTATGTTAATGTAATATAACATCTATCTGTTAATGGAGTAATGACCAATCTTAATGCATTACCGACATATTCATATGAATAGAATCTGAACCAATCAACAATTCTAATAATACACTTTGATTTATCTCTTTCTTTCTCCCATTTGAATCTCAATGCTTATCTTAAATGCATATCATTATCCTTATTATCCCAATAAAATTTCAATTGTGACAACCAAGCAAAAGATTCTAATTCTTGAGTTTTCTAAAGACAGAATTTTTCAACAACATCTCTTGAATGTACATCGATTGTAATAATGTTAATGATTTTCATACGTTCTAAAATTTCCAAATTACCTCTGACTTTTTTAATCAAATTATCAATACGAACTTCAATCAATTTCAAACATTCTTTCATTGCTGTTTCAGCACCACCACCTAAATCTTCAAATGCTCTAGTAACATCTTCAGTCCATACAATTTATGTTGTTAACAATGCAATTTAAGCACAATAATTTTTAACCCAATCCTCTCTAGGATTGTCACCACTTTCCCAATTTTCTGATGTTTCTTTAGCCTTTTCTAATATTTCTTCTAATGTCTCTCTCATCTTATATTCTAATGCTGATAACCAATGTTCAACTGCTCCTACACATTCAAAATTAGATGAAAATGGAACCCTCTCATCATCCTTAGAAATCATACTATGTGTGCTTCTTGGAATATCATTTGGATTTTTTGTTGGTTCAAAAGTAAGTGTTTTCATTCCATCGAAACAATCACCTAAAAATTCACAAACTTTAGGTGGATTTTAACCATTTGATAAAATAGTTAACAACGATTGATTTGACAAGAAATAGAATCTAGGGAATGCTTTCTTTTTCTATTCTAAATAATCATTTAAAGCCTTTTCACATTTCTTAATATTTAAACTCATAGCAACTAATTAATCCTTTCTTTCATTAATACATGCTTCAATAACCAATGGATTAGCTGCAACTTCAGTCATAAGTTCTCTAAATTCTTTATCAACAGCTTCAAAGACTTTAGTATCTTCTGGTAATTACATTCTAATATCTTCAGATCCAATAAAGATATTTACTAAAGTCTTCCAATTCTTTTAAACTTTCAACCATTCACCAACAACAGAATCAACTCTTCCTAATTTTTCTCTCCAATCTTCTACTGTATTGTAAAAGAATTCAACATATTTACCTTATCCTTTCATACCCATCAAATCAAGAGAATGTTAATCTAACATTTCCATCATATTATCTAATGGTAAAAAGATTTTAGTTTCTTTATAATCTTCAAATTCAAAGATTTATTTCAACCAAGCTGTTTCAATCAATTTCAATTTCTTTTCAATTTTAGCTTCCTTTGATGCTACTTCCACTACTTCATTTATTTATGCATCAAATTTATATAATTATAAAGCAAGAATATCATCAAATAAGAATGTCATAGCTTTATGTTCAAATTTACTCTTAGTCATATCTTTAACTTAACTCCAATGTCTATCTTCCATAAATTCACTATGTAAAGCTGAAACCAATGGTAATACAACTGACATATTCTTAACCTTATCAACAATAGAATTATATCCTTTGAAATTCTTAACTTCTTTTGGTAAATTCTTCAATTAATTTCCCAATACTTTATTAGATTCTAACAAGACATCAGCCTTAATTTATCTGAATGGTTTAGATTTCCAATCATTATATTAGTAATTTACCATTGAAATAGCATCCCACATTATTTTCAATGATTTCAAATCAACATTTGTTTCTCTTAATTATTTATAACCACTTTTCTCTAATTCAAACAATTTCTCCAATTAATTATAATCTGCAGCCTCCTTTTCTATCTACAACAACTTTTTATAGTAATCATCAATTGTGACATATGAATATAATATTGAATCCATCTTCATATCATCATGATAACTATAAGGTAAATTATTTAAAGTATCATTTCTAAAGTCTGATACCTTCTTTTAGAATTCATCTAATTTCTTCTTAATATTGATGGTTTCTTAAGTTTATAATGGTAAGATTTCAGCTTTAATCTTAAATACTTTCTAAGTTGTCTCATTAAATTAAGTAAATGCATTATCAATACTTTAAACTGGATCTTCTTCTCCTTTCTCCATTATTTAAACTCCATGTTTCTTTAATTTATTAACCATTTCTTTCATTCTTACAACAATTCCTTCACATTTATGTTCGACATCTTTAACATCTGATATAACTCTCATAACTTTCATTAATAAATCTCTATTTCCAGTATTCTCTTCACTTGCAGGATTCTCTTTGATTCCTTCATTTGTTCTTTGGATAAATCCTTTAAGGTTTTTCAATGTAGTCTTGAATTAAACAACTAAAAATTCAGTGTAAACTTTTATTTATTGACTCACCTTATTTTCGAGTGCACTTTTCAATGGTTATAAATTGATTCTCAACCATGATATTTCATAAGGTGTCATTATTCTATTGATTTCTTATTGAATATTTTTCAATGTTGTAATTTTATCATCAAAAAAATCTAATTTTGGAATCTTTATTCTACAACCTTACAATAAAGGATTTTATGATTAATCTTCATCTTCAGGTGCATCTTTGGGTTCATTCTTTATCATGAAATCTTCGAAAGCTGATTTAGGATCTTCTAACCATAGATAACTATAAGTCATATAAGATTATTTAAAGGATTTAGTTTCTTCTTCAATTTAATCTAAATTGAGATTGATTGCCTGAACTATTTCTTTGATTTCAAAATATTCTTTAATTTCTGGCAAATAATCACCAAAAGGATTTGCAGAATCTAATCTTTAAAATTGACTTGCAATATAAAACATATCATTAGCCCATCCTCTAATTGTATTACGAACACTTTATCCTTATGTTGCTTCTTCAATTTCAGGTTCATATTGAATTCCTACATTTCTAAATAATTCTAATTTGATATCAAATAAAGGTGCAATTTCATGTTTCTTAATATATTATGGATTGATTTATTCATTCATATGTGTCAAAGCAGTTATAATGGCTCTTGCTAAACCATTAATAACAATTGAATTCAAATAATATTGATAATTTATCCAAGCCTATTGTTTTTTGTCAACTTTAACTTAATCAAGAACTTCTTTAACAAGTTTATTAATTGATGTTCCATTATCTTTAACTATAGATAACTTATTCTAAACAACTGCCTTTAAGAATTGATCATAATCATCTGGAGACATTGGTTTATTTTTTCTCTCAATAATCTTAGTATTGAATTTCTCTAATGCTTACTCTATCTTTTTTAGAGTTTCCTTCATCTTTTACACTATTTAGTGTAATTCATCAACAGTAGCTTTGGCTGTTTCAATGAATTTATTAATATCATTACTCTTCCATTTGTAATGTTCAATACCTGGTTTAAGTACTTCATCCATCTTTTCAATTCTATTCTTTATCAAAGGTTCTTCCATTGGATGTAATTAAGTTACAATAAAATTATGATTCTCAACAATCATTTCCAATTAAACTATATATTCTCTAAAAGTATCATTTTTAGAAAATAATTCTGAGGCAGATTCAGGAACTGGTTATTCAAGCAATGTAAAATATTTCACTTCTCTTAATAATCTAACCAAAGCAGGATCAAAATTAACTCTTAATAATCCATTCTCATCTTTTGATAATAAAGGTTGCTTTTGTTTTTCTTCTGATACTTTACCTACTTCTTATTCCCAACTTAAAATCTTTGTTTATTCGTAATCTTTTATTTATTTTGTTATTGATTAATATAATTTCAATACATCCTTATATTCTTCTCTTTCTGTTATACCTTAACCTAATTATGCCAATTTATCTAAAGGTTCTGTGATTCTATCTCTTAATCCTTTGCACCACATCAATGCTCCTGCAATAGGAGGCATATTATTATAAATTGGTGCTCTTTCATTTAATTTATCAACCAATTCATAACCTTCCAAAAAGATTTATTAAACTTATTTCAAATCTTATTTGTACATATCTAATAATACTATATGTTTTTTCTCTAATTCATCCTAGATAATTGGTCTGGATAACAAACCTTCAAAACTATCTAATAATTTGAATCTTCCATGTAATGTATCATAATCATCAAATCCTTATGTAATTACTGAAGCTAATCTTCTTTCTAATTCCTTAATCTTTGATCTGAATTCATAAAAACTATCATCAAATTCTTTTTGTGTAATATCCATAATATCATATTTTACTTATTAGAATTGTTCAACAGCTTTTTAAAATTCAACAAAAATTTATTAAACTGATTCAGTCAATGTTTTTCCTTTTGTACCACCAAGATCAATCTTGGCTAATTTATTAAACTAAACTATAGTATTAGTTAAATGTAAAATATCATGACATCTTTCTAAAAAGGAATCTAATCTAACAAATAATGCATTAGTAGTCAATTTCCAATGACCTTCAGCTTTGGCTTTATATTCAAAGTAAGCATCCTTAAACTTTGTACAAACATCAATAGTAATTTACAACTTTTCACAAGCCTCAAATGTTTCTTCTGAACTAATCATTTAGAATATCATTGGTCCATTAACAAAATCTTGAGCTTTGGTTATGATTGCATTGCATATCTCTCTTATCAAAACTACTAATCTTGGTGGAGTATTATAAAATTTAGAATTTTTCCAAATCAATAGAATTCTATGCATTATTGGAATGAATAATTCATGTAAAGACTAAAAGTCTCCACCAGTATCTTATAGTCTTTAGAAAGGATCTTTCAATAAATCTAAAAATTTATTATTATCATTTGCTTCTTCTCTTGCCTTTGTTACCTCCCTTTATAATTTTGAAAATGGATTTGTATAAGTTGATTTGTTGACTTCCAAAAATCTTAAAATTTTAATCACTTCAGTTCCTTCCAATTAGTCTTTTATGCTATTAAGATTGGCAGCTTTATTTTCCCAAAATTTTAATTCAACCAAAGGTCCTGGATTGTGTCCATTCTTCAAAGCTTATTCTGGTTCTAATTTCAATACGTTTTTTATTTATTTTGTCCATGTTATAATTGAACTTTCATAAACATGGGCTTTATCTTTTGCTGGTGTTGTATCTGATTAAGTTAATTTGTGTGATGGAATTGGCTTAAATATATTATAATAATTTACCAATTTAGTTCTTCCTTCTATTTAACCAATCATAACATAAACTTAAGCAACATATGCATTGAATTTCTCCATTAAATCTTTTGCTACCAAGTCTGTCCAACCCTGTTGATTACTTGGATTCTATAATATTGGACTCATTATCTCATAGAAGGTTGAGTATAAATGCTCTAAAATCTAAAATAAAATAAAATAGTTACATTTCTTGTTAATTCCAAAAACACTATATTATGAGTGATATTTTATATTGAAAGTGGGCTTTCAGATATTTTAAGTGCAATCAGCCCCTTCTTTCTAAACTTATCTGGATGAGGAACATCTGAAAATAATGTAACAGACTCTGCCCCAGATTAAATGGCAAATACAGCTATCATATTACTTTCATCTTTCATTAGTCTGTCAAACACTATTCTAATTAATTTTAACACTGGTAAAATTACTTATTATCCTCTGCTTCAAATGATTTCTTGAATTTGTCTTATTAAATTGAGTTTCTTATATTGAATGAGCATGCCAGACGATTTATAAAATAATCTTCTTTGCTTTTTAAAGGTTCTTAATCACCCATTCAAAAATAGTAATATTATTTGAAAAAATTAATAATATCCTTTTTTATTAGGAAGTTATGCTTTTAAACAGCAAATCGTGGTTTATAATAAATTATCAAATTAAGAGATAAATATTTGTGATTAATATAATATTGCTGATTAATCCATGCATCCAAATCATTTTCTTCAAATTCAATCCATTAGATGTTAAGATTGACAATACTACTGCTAATCAAAATGAGGTAATTCATTTCTGTGCCATAATTCAGGATACTTTACATAGAACATCATTATATTATTTTTATATTGTAAATATTGTCTTAATTTCTATTTCTTCCTCGATTTTAAAATGTACAAAGATGCTATTAAATTTAAATAAATCCATCAACCTTTTTTTTATAAAAACTCAATTAAATAGCCTTAGAAAATTCTTTTCCTTTATATCGTTTCATTTGAATCATCTTTATTTAAAATTAGATGTTATTTTAAAGCCTGAAATCCAATTATTGATGAACCAATTCTTTTATAATAGTTTACTATATCTTATGGCAATTCAAAATTTTCCATAGCTTGAATTGCATTCCCAACTATATAACGACATTCATTTTAAAACTTTGATTTCTTTTCCTTCTTTAATTATCTTTTAAATACATTTTCCAGTTTTTCTCTTATTTTTTTTCTATTTAAATGAAATCTTTACTTCTCCTCTTAATCACTCTCCATAATCACATCTTCATTTTTATTCAAATCAAAAAGAATTTCCATTTCAGTTGTACTAATTTTATTTAAACAATCCATACTTATCTTCATTGTTTTAGTTTTCTTAAAAATGGCAAAAACTCAAAGGCAATGAATCCTATTCTTGATATTATATATAGTTTGAAATATCTTCAAAACTTTCACAATTAAAAATTTGATCAGCCATCATTTTTTTTTTAATATTCTAANTATATTATGAGTGATATTTTATATTGAAAGTGGGCTTTCAGATATTTTAAGTGCAATCAGCCCCTTCTTTCTAAACTTATCTGGATGAGGAACATCTGAAAATAATGTAACAGACTCTGCCCCAGATTAAATGGCAAATACAGCTATCATATTACTTTCATCTTTCATTAGTCTGTCAAACACTATTCTAATTAATTTTAACACTGGTAAAATTACTTATTATCCTCTGCTTCAAATGATTTCTTGAATTTGTCTTATTAAATTGAGTTTCTTATATTGAATGAGCATGCCAGACGATTTATAAAATAATCTTCTTTGCTTTTTAAAGGTTCTTAATCACCCATTCAAAAATAGTAATATTATTTGAAAAAATTAATAATATCCTTTTTTATTAGGAAGTTATGCTTTTAAACAGCAAATCGTGGTTTATAATAAATTATCAAATTAAGAGATAAATATTTGTGATTAATATAATATTGCTGATTAATCCATGCATCCAAATCATTTTCTTCAAATTCAATCCATTAGATGTTAAGATTGACAATACTACTGCTAATCAAAATGAGGTAATTCATTTCTGTGCCATAATTCAGGATACTTTACATAGAACATCATTATATTATTTTTATATTGTAAATATTGTCTTAATTTCTATTTCTTCCTCGATTTTAAAATGTACAAAGATGCTATTAAATTTAAATAAATCCATCAACCTTTTTTTTATAAAAACTCAATTAAATAGCCTTAGAAAATTCTTTTCCTTTATATCGTTTCATTTGAATCATCTTTATTTAAAATTAGATGTTATTTTAAAGCCTGAAATCCAATTATTGATGAACCAATTCTTTTATAATAGTTTACTATATCTTATGGCAATTCAAAATTTTCCATAGCTTGAATTGCATTCCCAACTATATAACGACATTCATTTTAAAACTTTGATTTCTTTTCCTTCTTTAATTATCTTTTAAATACATTTTCCAGTTTTTCTCTTATTTTTTTTCTATTTAAATGAAATCTTTACTTCTCCTCTTAATCACTCTCCATAATCACATCTTCATTTTTATTCAAATCAAAAAGAATTTCCATTTCAGTTGTACTAATTTTATTTAAACAATCCATACTTATCTTCATTGTTTTAGTTTTCTTAAAAATGGCAAAAACTCAAAGGCAATGAATCCTATTCTTGATATTATATATAGTTTGAAATATCTTCAAAACTTTCACAATTAAAAATTTGATCAGCCATCATTTTTTTTTTAATATTCTAATTTAATTAAACAAAGTCTCTGGTATATGTATGTTTAATAATAAAAACTAATTTATATAATATATCTTCTATACATGAATATTTCAACTATTTTAAAAATGAAGAAAACAAAATAAATTTATCAATAAAATGGAAAAATAATATGATTAATTTAAAGAACTAAGAGCTTCATCATCTATATACATAAAGTAGAATCAAGATATATAGATTATTTCAATTTGTTTTATTAGACAAAATAATTTTTAAATTGTTCAAATATCATCGATATCTTTTTTGGTTATCTTTTCTTTATTGTCTTTGGCAGGTGCTTATGCTTTTTATGGTTATGGTTTTTATGGTTATTGTTTTTATGGTTATTTTGGTTCAGAGTCAGAGTCATCATCAGAATCACTATCACTCAAATCTGAATCAGAACTTGATGATTCTTCTTTATTAACAAAAACAACATTATCTCCAATATTATCACCTCCTCCTTCTTCTAAATTCTTAATTGTAATATTTTAAATTATTATACCTCTGGAATTTCTTTAAGATTTTTCAACTATTTGATTTCTTCAGGAAAATATTTATACACTACATCACATTTTTCATCTTAAAATTCTCTCAATGCAACAAGTACAATGTCACCATTTTAAATCCAAACCTTACGTCTCATTTTACCTCTAATGTGTCCTAGTCTTTATTTACTGTCACCCAAACATAAACAGATCAATCTTCCACTTCCCAACAATTTTATAACTTAAGCATAATCTTAGCCATCATCTTTTGTTTCTAATTATCTCTTAGTTAAATTTTCATTTTTTCCTCTTCTATAATTCTTACCACCTCTTCCCTTATTTTTGGGCATTATTTAAAATTTAATCTTTATTGAAATAAAAATTTTAGGTTTTCAGATTTCTGATATATATTCAAAAACAAGTTTGTAATAATATTTCATAGATATATATTTACATTATATATTTCAGAAATTAAATACATATACCATATATGTTTTTATAACTTATTATAATAATAATTTATATTGATATTTATTAATTCTAATTTATTTAAATCTCTACATACTATGCATACTAGAATAATTCTAATTTTTAGATATAATAAGAAATTTTATCTTGGATATTAATTATCTAAAATTATTAAAAATTTTAAATTATAATTCATTCTTTCAACTTGAATTAAAAGGATCTTCATTATTTAAAGGTTATTCTTTATTTTTTTTATCTAATTAGATTATAAAAATATTTACTTTATTTTATTTCATTATTATTTTGAGTAGAAATATCTTTATATTTATCTTGCTATTAGTTTTATACTTTTCTTTTCTTATAATATTACCAAGCAAGAAAGATTCCCACTAAAATATCAATAAAAACTCCAATAAAAAATAGTATAATGTATACAAAATTAAATGTATATATTGATGTTTTTAAAACATCTAAAATCATTTAAAATTCATCCTAAATATTAATATTAATTTTACTAATGTAAATTTATCAGAACAATTTTGATCAATTAACTTTTTGAAGAAATTAATCCTCCCTTAAAGTGAATCGAAATTAATAATAATTATTATTGCATTAGCTATTTAAGTTAATTCTTTTAAAGTAAACTAAATTAAAAACAATTTATTAGATTCTTGTGTTCCTTTTCCACTTATAAAAGGTAAATCAAGTCCAAAAATTGTTAAACAATTTAAAATAAGCATTAAAATGAAGACAGTTACACAAATTATTGAAATTATCATTAAAACTAATTATTAACTTTCAATATCTTCTAAATATTCTACAGAATCCATAAATTCTTTTTAATATTTTCTACAACTTAAAGTAAAATTTATATAATTTCTACCATATAGACCCCATTGATATAAACTTGATATATGATAACCTGGGGCTTTTTTAGCAATATCTAAAGCCTTATTCGCCTAAAAGAAATTGAATTCATCAAATAAATAAATTAATTAAAATCTTGGATCTCTTTCGCAATCATATCCAGGATCTGATATTAATTCATAATTAGATCTTCCTGATGTAATACTTCTTTCATTTATCTTTCTACAAACACCATCTCCTTATGCAATTTTAAATTCAACTAAAGGTAATAAATTATCATTTTATCTCAAAGTTTAAAAATAATCTTAACTTTCACTTTCAAAATTAGAATTGTTTTTCATTTAAAATATAGGACATTCTTATTCTTAAGTACAATAAAAATAATCTGAATTTGTTCCACATTTTAATTCATTTTCTTTACATTCATTTACTTTTGGTGAATTCAAAGCAAAACTATTATTTCCTACTTCTCTTAAACCACAGATTCTTAATGATTTATTACCAAAATCAACAGGTAATCTTATAAAATCTCTAGAACTCATTTCAACAATATCTTAACATCCTGCAGCCCTCATACTACTATTGCACTCTTATTCCAACAATTTGTCTCTACGAGAATATAAAATTCTTCTAGGTTCAATATATTATTCGTTGTATCTGCAATCGCAACCCTATTCTATACCAGGCCATATGTAATGATTAATAATTTCTTCCTGTGATATTTTGAATATTTACATTTTATACACAGTCACCTTCTGTAGATCTAATATATTTAAATGGTTATAAACTCCAATTATGATTAATATTATATAAGTAATCTTAAACATCTATAATTTGGCAATAACTTATGATTGATAATACCATTAATGTAATATTAAGTAAAAGCAGATAAATTTAGAATGCAATACGAAACGGAACATTGTCAGGGACTTCTGATGTTTCTTATCTCTCAATTGTATAATCTTTCATAAAAAATATTACTAAAAAATAATTATAAATATCCTTAATAGCATTTAGATTTAAATTAAAAAGTAGGTTTGATTTAAACTCTAACTGTATATATTTTTACTATTTTTTTTAGATTTAAATGAAAATTTTTATCAGATGAGAAGAATATCTAATAATCATATGAAATGACCTTCATTATTTGTACGAAAAGTAATGATACTAAAAATTTTGAAGATAATATTAAATGAATTATTTTTGGAGAACTTAAGATCTATTAAATGAGTCAAAATCTTTTATTATAGTCTACCTATAAAATTGATGAAATTCTAAATACTTGGTTTAATAAACTTATATTAAATCAAGTCTAAAAGGGATTTTATTGATATTATTAATTTTAGACTGGCTGATTTTGGTAGTTTTATTATGGATAATAATTAGAATGTGGATATTATTGTAGGTTGTTTTATGCTCCAAAATTAGATTGTACTTAAGGATAAAAATTTGGTGGTTATTGAAAATCATTAAATTATGCATTTAAATTTTCTTATTTAAAAATTTCTTGCTCAGGATTACTACGTATATGATTATTTCCTACAATTCATATTACATATTTACTTTCTTATTATTGCTCTTGATTTCGTATTTAAGCCAATCGTTTTCTTTCTTAATAATAACTATTCAATAGTGATACTCCAACTATTAAATCAATGCAGGCTCCTAAGAAAAACATTATTATATATGCAAGATTGTAGTTATAAATTTTTTCTTATAAAACATCTCTAATGATGGAAATATCATCCTATTTATATAATAAAATGTACAAGTGTTACAATGTCAGAACAACCTTCATCAATTAAATTAGAGTAAAAATTAACTTGAGTGTTAACTGCAGAAAAACTTATAATTGCTATGATTGCTTAAATTAATTGGAAAGTTTCCTTGATTCCAGCTTATATACAAAACAAAATGTTTGATTCTTATGTTCCTTTTCCTTTTATACAAGGCAGATCTACACCTTTTATTGTACAACAGTTTAAAATAAATAAAATAATAAAGAGTACTACACAAATTATTGAGATTATCATTAAAACTAATTATTTGACATCAATATCTTCTAAAACCTCTACAGAATCCATAAATTCTTGTTAATATTATCTACAACTTAAAGTAAAATTGATATAATTTCTTGCATATAGACCCCACTAAAATTAACTTGATATATGATAACCAGGTGCCTTTTTAGCAATATCTAAAGCATCATTAATTTAAAAGAAATTGAATTCATCAAATAAATAAATTAATTAAAATCTTGGATCTCTTTCGCAATCATATCCAGGATCTGATATTAATTCATAATTAGATCTTCCTGATGTAATACTTCTTTCATTTATCTTTCTACAAACACCATCTCCTTATGCAATTTTAAATTCAACTAAAGGTAATAAATTATCATTTTATCTCAAAGTTTAAAGATAATCTTAACCTTCACTTTCAAAATTAGAATTATTTTTCATTTAAAATATAGGACATTCTTATTCTTAAGTACAATAAAAATAATCTGAATTTGTTCCACATTTTAATTCATTTTCTTTACATTCATTTACTTTTGGTGAATTCAAAGCAAAACTATTATTTCCTACTTCTCTTAAACCACAGATTCTTAATGATTTATTACCAAAATCAACAGGTAATCTTATAAAATCTCTTGAACTCATTTCATTAACATCTTCACATCCTGAATCCCTCATTGTATCATTACATTCATATTTCAATATTTCATCAGGCCTTTCATATAAAATTCTCATAGGAGCAATATATTAATCTCCAAATCTACAATCGCAACCCTAATCTATACCAGGCCATATGTAATGATTTAAATTTTCTTCCTTTAATACAAACAATTATTACATTTTATAAACAATCCCCCTATGTTGATCTTATGGATTTAATTGGTAAGGTGTTCCAATTTTAAACAATATTTCTAATATAAATGATATTTTCAGATAATGACACAAAAGCAATAATAGATAATACCATAAGAGTGATACCAAGTGATAGTAAATAACATTAAAATAATATTCTAGCCTTGATATTACTTGGAATATTTGATGTTTCAGCTTTTTTCAAAGAAGGCTCCATTATTTTATGAATATAATTAATATAGAAATTTTGATATACTATTTTACATCAAATAAATTTCAGATCGTCATTTAAATACTATTATTTATTTGATAAAAAATAAATTATAACCTATAATATTTAAAGTATAATAAATTTAAATAGAAAATTATTAACTAAATTTAATCTCAAGTTATAATAAATCATTTATTATATTTAAACTTTGGAATAGTATTACTTAAAGGGTGTTAAGGTGGATCTTATAATGTTAAATCGGAAAATGAGGAATTATCTATTATTAAGTTAATTTAATACTTGAATATTCAAAATTTGAAGAGTATTTACTTAATAAAATATCATCTTCTTCTTCATCAATTTAATCAATTTCTTAAATTTTTTTTTATATTTTTATTTCTCGACGCTCTTCTAGTTCTCTTGAAGACTGGCTTTATTATTATTATTTTAATTTTAATTCGAGTTCAATTTTTTACAAATTCTATTCAATTTGTATGTTTTATGGTTTGACAAATTAATTTTTATTTTATTAGAATCTTTTTATTGCCAAGGCTTAATTAAATCCATTTTATTTAACAACAGCAGGTCTAACAGTCAAAATTTTAAAAAGGGATAAGATTATCGAGATTATACATTTCACAAAAAGAAATGTCATCCATAATCGCATTGTAGGCCATTTTGGATCAAAATAATTATAAAAACCAGTTATCTTAGTCTTAGAGGAGAAAATCCAAATAAAGATGAATAGTATTAATTCAAAAAAAATCATCCTATAAGTTTCGATTATGATTTCATAATTAACTTTAATAGTTTTTGTTAATTAATATCCTTAAACTGGACATAAAGTTACTAGAACATCACTTGAGACGAAATAATTTTAATAGTAGAGATTTCTTTACAATAAAGATAAATATTTAGCTTAATCATCACCTGGAGTAGCTGATATAAATTTAATTAAATTAATAAAAGTTATTATAAAGGCATCAGCTAATCTTCCAAATATCACAATACTAAATAGAATCTAATATTTTGTTATGTCGAAATCTAAATTTTCATCACTCTAACTCATTAAAGAAGCCAAAAACATTCTTTCAGCCAATGTACTTGATTTACTAAAAATAGAGTAAAACATTAAAAATATTTCTCTTTTATGGGGAAATTTAGTATGTAGATGTTCCAACATTTTTGGATGTATAATTTATAAAGCTGGTTATATTTTTCTTCTTAAAGCTACAGTTAGGACTAATTACAATATTTCAATAATAACAATTGCTCCCACTATTATACCAGCACATGTTAAATCAGTGAATACAGCATTAGTTGTTTATTTATTATTATCTGAATTTAATATTTCCCTTTTGTTCTTACTATTTACTAAGAGAAATAATTTAAAAAATTAAGATATATTTACTAAAACAAACCCAATCCAAAATAAAATAACTAAAATCTTTATGTTAATATTGTTTCTTCTAAATTTACCAATAAAAAGAGTGCTTACTATAAATATCTATGGTTCAATCAAGTCTAAATAATTCATTAATTTATTTATTTTATGAATAAGCCATGATCCAAACATACCTCCAAATATTTTCTCTATTTATTTCTAAGAACTATCTTATTATCCTATTGTATGAACTTTTTTCAAATTTTATTTTGCTTATCTCAATAAAAAATTCCTCAATCTTAAAGTTAAATAACGCAATAATCCATCGTCAAATAATTATCTGGTTTCTTAAGAATCAGATATATGTAATGCCCTTAATTAATGCTTTTCATAACTGTAATCAAATAAATGAAAAAATAAATAGACTTTACCATACATTGTTATACATGGATTATCTGAAACATCAATAAATTCAATGAACCCCAAAAGTGGATAATATTTTCCAAATGATTCACAAAATTTATCAGTAAGATTTGATTTTGACAATTAAATTTCTTTTAAAAATGAAGGTAATGAAATTTAATCTAAACGATATTTTTAACAAATTCTAGTATATTATTCTAAAATATTATCTGCATCTTCATCATCTAAATTTGTCCATATATTATCTATAAATAAGCTTTTTTAATACGAAAGAATTTATGCTAATATTTTTAAACCTTATTTCTAAAATTCATTGTCTCTTAACAATAAAAACTAAATTGAACATTAATGAAATTTTAATTCATCTAGTTTCTTTGCAAATAAATCACCTACCTTATTACTACTAATATTAATTGTTTTTATAGTTTAAGTAACAAAAATACCTTCAAGAATTTAGATCATGCCTTTACTAGTAAAATAATTTTATTATAGATATAATTCTTATAATTAAGTTGATTAAGTAATGGTTTATTTCAATAACTCTCCTATGGAATCATCTAATTAATTGTTACTTAAAGATAAACTTATAATATGAGAAAATAAGAATTATTCTTAATGAATTTGATGTTCTTTTACTAAATTTTAAAAAAAACTTATTTTCAATTTACAATTAGATAAATTGAGTTGTTTTATTATGGCAGCTTGTTTTTATTTATTTTATAATGATTAAGGAGTAAAAAATTAAATTAATTCTTTTTCATCTAAAGGATTATCAGATAAATTGAGTTCTTCAAATTGTATAGTTTTATTTTCTGACACAGCTGCAAATTTACTGTTACATAAATTATCGACAATATTATTATTAGCTATTGATAATATTCTTATTGTAGGATTTATAGAAATAGCTTCCCCTAAGGGTTCTAAATTTAAATTTCCCAAATTACATTTATTTAGAAATAAATGTTTAATAGTTCTATTTCCTTAAATTCCAATACATAATTCATTTAACCATTCCTATCTTAATACATTTTCACTTATATCTAATGTAGTCAACTTGAATAATGAATATATATTACACTACAACAATCTGGATTTAAAAACCAGTCTTTGGCATGACCAAAGGATTCTCCTGTAAATGTTATTTAATTAAATTTTAATATTTTCAAATTTTTAAATTCTTTTAACATTGCTGCTGCCTTATTTAGATCAACATACATTAATGGATTATATGATACACAAAACATTTATAATTTCTTACAATGTACCATCTACATTCCTAACTTTTCATAATTACTTTAACTAAAACTACAATGATTAAAAGTAACCCCTAAAATATTCCTTTTTTATTTTTCTATAATATTTAATAAATTTTTTATGTTAGATTTATCAAAATGAATATCAGATAATTATAATAGTTCTATTTTTTCAGTCTAACATAAATTGAAAAATGTTTTTAATCTTTTCATTTAGGGGTTGTCTGATATATTTAAATATTAAAGATTTTCATTAGATATTATTTAACCCAATATTAATAAATCATCAGCACTCATTTATTGATGAGAAATACTGAAAATATTAAATAAATGCATACTTTAAACTTTTTAAGCATCTATTCTCTGACATAATTCTAGAAACTGCTATTAATCCTGTAAAATCTATGTTATTATGAGATAGATTTAAGATCTATAGATTTCTGTAAGATGATATAACAATTTCTATATAATTAGTATGTTTAGACTCAAGTCCATTATCACTCATATCTAAACTCTCAAGTTTGAAATTTGTTATAATCTCTTCTAATTAGAATGTCTTAGCTATTTTAAATAGTTAATTTTTGCTTAAATTTAATTTTTTAAGACTACTATTAAGGATACAATTCCTTAATTTTTTGACACTTGCTATATTTAAACTTCCAATATTCAAATCTCTTAAGTTTAAATCATGAACTATAGTAGATTTTTTTAAGAATATACACAGCAAATCTAAATCCGATTCTGTTACTGGTTTACAAGAAGATAGATCTAAGATTTCTATTTTATTAAAATATGTTGCTAAAGAACTAATAACAGGTGTAAAAATGTTCTCATTTTTTGAAAAATCTAATTCTCTTAAATTAAATGATATTAATTAAAATTAATTTTAAGCAGATTTAGCAGACTTCTCTTCTTCAAGTAATATGGAAGGATTTTAATTTATATCCCAAATATCATTTTATTATTTTATTAAAATGAACATCTAAAGCAACGTAAACATCCACTTTTTATGAATTTTAACAAAAAAAATATTAAAGCATATCTTATTTAATTATAAGATACATCTAAGTATTCAAAGTAAACCTATTCATGATTAATCATATATGTAATTATTGCTTCACCATCCAAATTATTGTTAGCTACATTAAATTTTTTTAACATTTTGTTATCTCTAAGTCCAAATATAAGTGAATTAAATCCTTCACTTTTTATTTAATTATTAGAAAGATTGAGTTCTATCCAAAGTGGATTCTATCTTAATATACTTGATAATTAAAATGCTCCATGACTTGTTATATTGTTATTTGTTAAATTTATTACTAAAGTATTCATAAAAAACTATTAAGGAAAACACGAAATTAAATTAGAACTTAAGTTAACTTCGTACATTTTTCTTGATAATAAATTTTAACAACAAAACTCCTCTAATTGATTTTATGATAAATCTAATTTTTATAAGTTTTTAATTTTTCTTAGAAATGCCTCAAGATGTGGAACTCCTTATTAATTAATAAAATTTCTTCTTATGTTAAGTTCTTTCAAATTTATCTTTCTAATATTCCAACTTACTCTTTAAGCCAATACTTCTACTCCTTAATTCCTTATATTAGTATCTCCAATATTTAAATACTCCAATACCTTTTTACCTTTATAATGTTGAAGTGCCATCCCTAAACTTGTTAATACATCTGTAGTAAATTACATCATTGATATATCTATAGCATTTATTGATCGAGAATATCTAAAATATAACTTATATTTACTTAAGATTTCTTAATAAATAACTCATAGCAGTACTAGATATGTTACAATGTGTTAATTTTAATTTCTTTAAATTATTCTTCCCTTTAAAAACAAATTGATTGATATCATTCATAAGATCAATATTGAAACCTTAGTTATTAAACAAATTGATTGATTATAAAGTTTAGTGATTTGCAATTGATGAAAATATATATTGTAAACTAAAACTGTTTAATTTACATCCAGAAAGATTGATTTCACTCAAAGAAGAATTTTTTTAGAGTCCTTAACCTAATTCTATAGCTAATAGGGGATCGATTTCCATTCCTGATAGATCAAGAGATCTAAGCATTATAAAATTAAATTAACCTTAAACTTCTTGCATTTTATAATGCAGAATTAAGAAAAGAGAAACATTACTGAATTGAAACTGGTGTTTCTCCTGAAAATCCTTCCAAAGTTTTTCTTTTTTTTAAATTAGCAATACTCTCTCTCAAGTTACTAAATTATTAAAAACATTACACATTTTGTTTTTAATGTATCAAAATTTTCATATATTTTGCAAATCTACCTTTTTAATTGTTTGTTTCAATTTTATCGTCTTCCTTCTCTTATCCATCTTGGGAATGTCTTTCTGAATGAAATATTGTTTTCTTTTATGTAGAATTCTTAGAAGTTGAAGACTTGGATATTTATTAAAATTACATTTATGAAAATTAATGAATATAATGATATATTAGTTTTCATAAGTTTTTCTATTTAATCAAACTTAAGACTTTTATAAATATTAGAATAAGCACAAAAAATTTAATTATTTGTTTATATTAAAAGGAAGATCCATTATAATTAGAATCAAACACTGGTTACTGTTTAAACTACAAATCATAACTTATGTTTTGAAGGAACCAAATTTAAATCTATTATTTTTTACATTCAGAAACCTTTATTATTATATATTTAATCTACATCATATAACCTTTTATGAGTTATCTAATAATTTGAATATTAATATATATAATAAATTATTTTAGAGTAGTAAGAAATACATGATTTGTTAATCTTAGGCATTTCTACCTTTAAATGAAAACTAAGAACTAGAAGAATAATTCTATAGTTATTTTCCAAATGGAGCGAATTGGAAAACTAGTTAATTTTTTTAGGATTAAACTTATGAATAATTTGATTCTAAAGTGACAACTTTTTTTTCAATTATAGGGATTTAAAAAAACCTTGCAAATTTGAATAAAGATTGTTAAATTTCATAATCTAACCTGTTTTCTGTTCAATTTAATAAAAATGATTTTTCTCTCTCAAATATGATGGAATATTTATAAAGCATTGCTTCTAAACTTCAAATTTCATTGTCTATCATTATAATGCCCAAATAAATAAAATAATATGGTAATATTTTTCACTAATAGGCTAAAATAATAATACAACAAACAAATAACAAAAAAAAGTTATCATTTATTTTTGGACTCCAAAGTAAGATGAAATTAAATTAAAATCCAAATTTCAACATGTAACCTGGAAATGAATTAAATTTAGAGATATAAGATTTATCATAAAATAACAATATATAATCTGGGCACTTTTTTCCTAATAAGAATTTAAATCCTTTTTTATCAAGTCAAAATATCATTAATCAATTCAAATAATAGTTATCTCCACCAAATATAAATTAGAATAATAATCTCATTGATTAAGGTTCTTAATAGAATTAATAATTTAAAATGAAATGCCCTTAATAGAACTTATTAAAAAATAATTAATAAATTATATTTAATAACCAATAATAGCACTAATAAATAAATCCTAAATAAATTAAATTTATAAATCCATAATAGCAATAATAAATAAATCCTAAATAATATAGAATTGATAATATAAAATTAAATGTTCAATAATAACCTTAAAAAATATCAAAAGAAATTGATGAATCCTAAACAGTTCTAAAAACAATTTTGATTGAATAAATTGAAACTAAATAAGAAAAATCTAATTATAATATTTTTTCAAAAAATGAACATTAAAAATCTGTAACAGCTATATGTGATATTTGTTCCAACGAATATGAGAGAATATCATAATAATAAATTTTTTTGCCATGTTGCTAAAAACCTATTCATAAAAAATGTTTTTAAGAAGAACTATAAAACCTTAAAGAGCCTTTAATTAATATAAAATGTTATTTTTGCCATTAAAATTTTCAAACAAATTTTATAAAAGAGAATGTTGATACCAATATTTTTATAATGATGGTACAAAATTAATTAAATCTTTTATGCATTTCTGAATGCTTCAATTGTAAAAGTAAAATTTCAATTTTACCCGAAGAGAAGTAAAAAATTTGTAAAATAGAATGTGAAAATTGCAAAACAATGATTTGTTCATAGTGCATGAAGAATTTTCATGGATTCGAAAAAATTGTAATTTTTTATTATATTAACAAAGTGTTAAAGTGTTAAATAAGAAGTGCTTAAACATTTGGAAGGATACCAAATTATATTTTGTCCATTTTGTGACTTTATTCAAACTAAAGATGAAGGATGTAATCATGTAACCTGTAATAAATGCAAAATGGATCTTTGTTCTGTATGTTCAGTTGATAGAAGACCTATTTTATCACATGGAAATCATTTTCATCGAATAGGATGCTCAGATCACAGATATAAAGAAGGATAAGAAACAATGACTAAAGAAAGAATTAGAGGTTGTTAACTTTGTATATAAAACCCAGATAAATATTGTCATATTCCAATTGATCTTAAAACTTATAAATAGGAAAAAGGATTTTGAATTAAATAATTTTATAAGTAATTAATATAATCAGCTTATTATTTGTTTAATTTGATAAATTATAAATTTTATATTTTAAAATTTAATAATAATAATATTTTGAAAATAATTAATTATTTAACCAAAAATAAAGTTTATAAAGATTCAATTGAATATAATGATTAATGAATTTGAATTAATCATTTTTTTTAGTTTATCAATACTTTTAAATATGCTTTTGCATTTCTTAATCTTCTTATATTATCAACTGGTATCATCAATAATGTCATTCTAGTCTTCCAAATATCTCTATTCAAATGACGATGAAATGGTATCCAATAAAAAAGATATATCAAAATTATAACAATAATAAAAGCAATAAACAAACCTAACTTTTATGATAAATATGTATTTTATTTAACTTAAGAACCTTCAATAAAGCTGTCCCCTAAATATCGAATCGCTGTTCTAATATTAATAATATTTATTACTTAAAATAAGTTCTTTACATTTTTTTAACTTCCTACATCTTAGAAAGCTTCATTAAATTGATCCTTAAATTGTCTGCTTCATTTGGAAAGATATTTATTTCTTCATAGTCAATAAAATCAGATAAAGGAGGAGTAGGTGTTTAAATGGTTAGAGTATATATACTAGATAAATATCTCAAGTTTTCAAAAAATCTTGTTAAAGCTACAGTAAATCCACTTTTAACACTAGTTTCAGCAAAAGCTTCACAATCAGTAATACTGATATTAGCTATTTCATTTAATCGTTGACAAGGATTAGAAAACATAATTGTATTATAAGCTTCTATGTAAACTTATTCATGTTTATCAATATTAGATGAATGTTCTTTATGAATTGTTGAATCTAATTAATATAAACGATATAAATTATCATATTATATTTTCACAGCAGCCTAACTTTATACTTCTTAAGTTGAATCAATTAAAACAGCTTATTGAACATTATTACAAAAAGCATAAAAGCCTTCAGCCATAATTGTAGAATTGGCTTCATAAATTAATTATCTAACATCACTTAAATTTTATTTTTGAAGTACAAGTTGCATAATAAAATATGCTTCCATGAATCCTGCTATAAGAATAACTTAAATATAAAATCTAATAGGTGCTTATGTTGTATTTTTAAATTTCTTTTTTTTCTTTTTTTTCGAATCAATAGCTGCCATATCATCTGATTCAATTTGATGTTCAAAATCTTCATCTTTTTCACTTCCTTCTCCATCAATTGAATTTACATATTTCACAAATGCTTCACATTTATTGAATAAAGCCTTTACAACTTTCGAGGGTAATTCTAAAAACATAATGATGACTTATTCTTTAGCCAACCTAGTAGACAATAATATAATAACAACTATAGCTAATGAAAGAGCTAAAATAACAGCAGCCACTACAACAATGATTACAAAATTAGTAGATTTATCTGCTGTTTTAGAAATAAAGTCATCTATTGTGTAAGATAAAACATTTAATTATGCATCTAAATAAGAATTAAAACCATTTTAAATTGAAAAATAAAGGGCAACATCATTAGAATATAAAGATATTTATTCTAAGGGGTAATTCATAATAGTTAAAGCATAACTTAATAATTAATTTGAGGCTTCTTAAAAATCAAATGTTTAACTATTTGTTGAATTAAATTTCATATTTATATTTGGTTCATTATACAATGTTTTTAAATCAGATGGAAATTCATATCCACTTAAAATAATATAATTTAATCCTTCTTAGATATAATCTATACTAGATTTCATTTCACTTTTTAAGTTTGTTTCATTTTATGTTATTTAATCTGTACTATTACCATACAATTTTTAATTAATTAATTATAAATCTCTTATATTTTCAAGTAAATAATTCCATTCAGCAACTAAATTAGTTTAAGTATTATAAACTTCAAGTGTTAATTAAATATCTTATAATTAATTAATCTTATATATATATATAATAATTACATCTAAAAAGTAATCAACAAATGCTAAAACAAGCATTGATAAAGTTAAGAATGTTTCAGCTATTCTAATAAACTTAATTGGAAATGGTGTTTGATTTTGATTAATAGCTTATTCTAATTTTGTTCTACTTTAGAAAGCATCTTATTCTGATTATTATTCTTCAGAATCATCATATAATAAATTATGATTTACACCTTAATATTAATTACCTTCATATTCTTATTCTTCCTCTTCCATTACTTAATCATCATCATTTACAATTTCACCAACTTTATTTTAAAATAATCTAACTGTTCTAATGCCTTCATCATATCTAATTTTATTGCTTACAACTTAAATTTCTTTAAATTTTGGAGATCCTTCTTAAGAATCTGTTTTATCTTATTTATTAGAAATAGTTATATCTAATTTTTGTGGAGCTATAAAACTATCATCAATTTTAGATTAATCAATTTTAGATTATTCTATTCTAGATCCTAAATCAGAATAACTTGGTAAATCTTTATAAAATCCATCAATATACATTGTATTTTCTTCATCAAATTTACCTTAAAAAATAAATTTATTTTAATTCATTTTTAATTTCTTATCAAATAATTAATTTCCTGATTTTTTAGAAATAATTGAATTATTAAGTTAAGAGGCACCTAAATCTGATACTCTTTCAAATTTAAAACAATAACCAGCTGGAAAATTTGCATAAGCAAATGAGATTTCAGAACAAAAACATTATAATTATATAGATTTTTCATCAACTCCTTTATAAATAAAATCTTTTTCTTCTTTTTTTCTTACACTTTCAATAATTTTTAAGATTTCTTTTGGAATTGTATATTAAACTATACTTCCTTATTTATTTAAATATTAATCCTTATCTGTTATTTATGGGAAAAGATCAAAAAAGTTTTTCTTTGTTTTTATGTATCTTATATCAAGTTTTAATAAACTTAAACAACCAGTACTAATACCTTCAATTTAATTTTTAGGATTAACTAAGATAAAAGCATTTTATTTATTAAATTTATCTTATGTAAAAGTTCCAAGAAATGATATTCCATTTTTAACTGAATTAATTGGTTTAATATTTAAATTCATTTAGAATAAATATCCAGATTTATTTTTACATATAACTTATCTATCTTTACTAACATATTTATAATCAGAATTATTAATGAAATCTTCAACAAATCTATCATGTGATTTACCAATCATATCTGGCATTAAAATTTAAATATTTTAATTCATTAATTCACTTTTTGTATAATGAAATAATGCTGCACCACTAGAATTTATTTATTAAATTAATCCAAATTTTTCATTATCACTAGATAAAACAATAGTTGGAGTAGGATCATTACTAAAATCATGATTATCTATATCATCTATTTTACTATTATTATATCCTTATATCATTTTACGTAAAGTATCATTCAAACTAACTCCATATTCTTTATCATTAAGTATTTCAATCAAAAATACTGAATATAACATAATACTAGTCTAATGATTTGGACATACTCTTTTTAATTTTTACCATAATTCTTAAACTATTCTAATACTATCTGTAACTTTCTTGCCACTTACTTCTAATTTTGCAACATCTGGAGTTTCTTCATTTAATTCTGACCAATATTCCATATGTAAATAAGCACATTTCTCAATTTACATAGCTAATCCACTAATAATAGGTGGAGCAGCTGATATTGGTAAAATTTCATGATTAGAAATAGTTTTTTCATTTTAATCATCTTATATTTCACTTTCAACTATTCGTTTATATTTATATAAAACAAATTAAGTATCTAAACTTGGTTCACATTCTTCAGCCTTTTATAATTCTTATAATGCTTTATGTTTATATGACATTACTTCTAATAAAAAGAAAGCATACTAAATTCTTAGATCAACATTTTTCTCAAACTTTTCTAATCCTTAATCCAAAATTCTATAAAGAGTTAATATTAATAATGCTTATTTATCATTTTTGACTTCAGAATTGTTCTATTTAATTTATTATATTAATCTTTTATTCCATCCAGGTTTGTATTTCTTTAAAGGACAATCTGTTTTTTCACAAGTTTATCTATGAACTTCTATATAACCATCTAAAATAACTGCATATTTAGTTTCATTCTATAATCTTAGTAAAGTCAATATATATCTAACTTATGAAATGATTTCTTCAGCACTATTTAATTTATTTACATTTGCCACTAAACTTTCTAATTATCTATCTCTTTGAGTCAAAACTATACTTATAACAAATGGTATTCCAACCATCCAAGCCACAATTGAACCACCTATCAAATTACCTTCCATTGCTGTTGCTACTGCCAACATAAAAGCACTCCACATAAGTAAAGAAGATAGTGTAGAATGATACCTTGTAAATAGAAAACTATGATATTAAGTACCAAGAGAAAATGCAATAAATATGATTAAACTACCTCCTAATGTTATTACTAATAAAATGTAAGTAAAATTACGATCATGCATTATTGAAAATGCAATCTCTTACACAATAACATAACTCTAAATAATAGCATCTGCTCTACCATTTATTTTAGCTGTTTAATCATTTGCTCTAAATCGACATTCAAAATAAGTGAAAATTACTGTCATTGACAAAGTGACATATAACATTAAATTTAGGAATGAAGCTATACAATATCCTATATGTGTTGCTGTAAAACATTATAAATCATAAAGTCTACTAACACCATTATTATCTTCTATACACATCCATGCAGATGTATTGTAATGTATTATTGGCATTGACAACACTGTAATTAATAATAATAACACAACTCTTAAAATTGAAGATGCTGTTCTATTTATGTATGAACTTGTATGATATTAATATCCAAAGTATATTATTATGCATATTAATGAAATGAATATTCCTGTTTGAATGAATAAAAATATTACATAACTCTACAAACTTGTAAAGTACACTTTGAAAAGTAGATGCTCTAAAAATATGTTAATTGCATTTGAAATTCCTTCATTCTACCAAACATAACCTATTTCTTCTCTAAACATATAACTATGTAATTATATGTATTAAATCAAATTCAAAATTGCTAATAATAATGCATTGATTTTTGACTCTTTTTATAAAATATACAAGAATCCAAATATAAAGTTCTTAACAAAATTACTTACTGTTTATAGCAATGAATTATCATCATAATTCTTTAAGTTATTCATTAAATTACTTAATTATTATATTATATTATAAATTAATATTATAATTTATCATTTTACTCATTTATTTTCTCTTTATAATATATAAGAATCTATTTTCTACAATAAATAGTATTTCTAAAGATTGATTCTTTCAATATAAAAGTTTCGCATTTCAAAACTATAATTTTTCTATTTTAAATACACATTCATCATCAGAATAAATTATAAACATATTAGTTTAATTCTTATTGTTAATATAGCAAATATATAAATATAAGAATAACATTATTATAAATATTGAACTCTTGACGTATTAAAATTATAAAAACAATACTGAATTTTTACTCATTCAAATGCAATCTTAAATTAAATATAGTAGAATCAACCCTTTGTTTTAATACACATTAGATATTTAAAATTATTAAATGAATATAGTTATATTTAAATTTAATAGATGTCGACAATTTAAGAGCTCATTACTACATTATTTAATTTAGTATTAATTCTATTAATCTTGTCAGATTGTTAGTGATGATGATGTTTTACCTAGAAATAGATTCCTGAAAACAAATAGTTTAATTGAATAATTAAGGATAATAATTGAATTAATAATTCATCAATAACACCAAAAATAACAATAAGATTATTAAGCTTTAGAAAAACAACTCCAAAAATTTGAATTTGAAGTAAGAAATCATATTAGAGTATTAAATTTACATTATAAACTAAGGATGAATATCTGATGCAGTAGAATTAAGAAGATTTGATATCTCGACTAGAGGAAATGGAAAAAGAAAAGAATGAACTATTCAGCAACACAAAATAAACAATTATTGTAAATTATTTAATTTATTATAAGAAATTAAAAAGGGAAAATGAAGAATTATATTAAAAGGTAAGATAATTATCTGTAGAAAATTAATAACAAAAAAATTTGAATGAAAAACTAGTTATATATTAAGAAAAACATAAAACGAATGATCATTTGACATAAGAATCTACAAAAATTAGTTAGAGTAAATATTCTACCTTAGAACACCATAATTAAAAAGTAATCAAATTAAAAACACATCCAACTCCTAAAAAATTACATACAGAAACCTCAGTTGACATTTCCTTAATAGCAGCAGTTAATTAAAAAAGATTAAGTTAATAATTGATCAAACCAAATTATTTTTAAAAAAAGGGATCAATAACACACAATTAATATATTAAAAAAAAAAGACAATCTTGTTCATTCGCAAATCAATCATTGTAATTAATTATTATAAATATAGGAATTTTTTAACAACAAGTATGTGATTAAAAATCATATTTTTTTATATGTGAAATAATATTTCTATTATTTTTAAAACCTTCTTCTAAAAATTATTATATACTTTTTTCATCATAAAAATGCAAATGTAAATAGAATTAGTATATATATATTTGTATCTCAAACCTAATTAATTTTAATATTATACAATTTTTAATTTAGATTCATTTTACTTTTTAAATGAACTACATTTCAAACCACTAAATATAGATTTATTATTCACAATTCAATTTTGAATATCGAATATATATGTATTCTACATTGAAATCTTTATTAGAATGTATTTTTTAATAACTGATTTTTTGATATTAAAATTATGTTAGTGAATATTTTGAAATAATCGTATTTATTTATTAAGATCATAATGATAATGTTATTATATATATGAATGAAAAAATATCATAAATTTTAATAATTTTGAAACATGAATATAATTCTATCAATTTCGAATGATTCAAAGATTAAATTCATATTAAGTTAACTATTCTTCTTATTATTAAACCCAAGGATGAGTCATTGCTTGTTTTGCTGACATTCTACTTTTCGAATCAGATGTAACTAATTTACTAATAAAATCTTTTAATTCACAAGAAAATGTATCAGGCATTTTAATAATTCCATCTTATATCATTTATTACATTTCATCCTATCTTAAATCTTCCCAGGGTGTTTCCCCACAACATAATTCATAAGCTAATACTCCAAGAGACCACATATCAGTACTCTTATCATAATTCTCACCTCTTATTATCTCAGGAGATAAATAAGCTAAAGATCCACATTATGTTTATCTTTAATCTTCAGGTGAATATACTGAATATGTGAAATCAGCAATCTTTATTTGATTCTACATTTAAATTATATAAATACATAACATAAGAATATATTCTCTGGTTTTAAGTCTCTATGAATGATGCCATTTCTATGTAAATAAATCAAAGCACTTAAGATTTAGCGAATGTATGATGAGGCTAATTTTTCTGGAAAGCAACATTCAGGTAAACCTTTTAGTATTTTATGTATTTAGCCATTTGGACAGTATTCTAAGACTAGAACTATTTCATCAGCTAAAATATTATTATTAATTTAATACTATTTTAAAAAAATGTATATAATTTAACTATATTTGGATGATTGAGTAAATACTAAATTTTAATTTCTTGGGCAATAGATTAAGACATTGATTAAATTTGTGCTTTCTTCATTATTTTTAAGGCTACATGATAATTAGTATTTTCATCAATTGCTAAATGGACATTGCTATAACGTCCCTTACCCAAAAATTGTAACATCTTAAAGCTCTTATACCTCGGTTAGGTTATGTGTGGTAAGGTTAAGTTGAATATTCTTCTATTTTAAGAGCCTAATGTGGGTGAGTTTGCAGTTTCTAACTTCTAAAGTCTATCTTCAAGGACTCTTTATTTTTAACCAGAATTTAATTAGGATCTTGCTTTTTATTATCTATTCTTATTTTCTTTGTTCTTTTTAGTTGGTTATAATCTTAGAGTCTAAACTAATTTATGAATGAGATCTTTTTAATTGATTTAACTATTCTCAGTATAAGTGAGAGGAGATTACACCCTTAATTATTGGGATGCTGTAATATTCAAAAAGCTTCGATGTCTACTTGATGCTGATCGATGTTATTAAATTAAAGAATTCATAAAATATTATCGTTACAATCTCAAATTAAAAGTTTTGATTAAATAATATAATAATAATTTTCAATATTGATCATTTGCATAATGAAATTAGTTATGTTAATAAATTGTATTGATATAATACTAAATTATGAATACTATTATAAAATTAGGAATTATGTTTAAATTATATAAACCTATTATTTATATAAAATTATATTAAATATGGCTAACGTTGCCTTTTTAGACCCTATGAAGAATGAACCAAATCTTTAAACTGCTTAAGATGTTGATGATTATATAAATACATTAATATAACATTAAAATGCTTGTGAAAAGCAAGGAAAATACATGGAAGCAGAAGATGCAAGGAAAAGAATTAATGAGTTGAGAAAATAACTTATAACAAAAAAAAAGAAAGAATTAATAATAAATTGGTAAAATTAAAAAGATTAGGCTGAAAAGGCTCATATGGAAGAATATAATTAATTCAATTAATTTTGGGATAATAAAATGGTGAATTTCAATGAAGAAGCAAAGTAAGTAGAAATTGAATTATAAAATCGTTAATAAAATGAATACAAATAATTATAAGAAGAATTAGAAAGAACTACTCCTTATAAACCAAAAGAATCTTCTGAAATATTGAATCTAAAGAAAATTGAAGAGCATTTAGCTAAACAAAAGAAGTACAAATTGTTTTTTATTTATAGTTATGTAGAAGCACATACCATATAAAATAAACGTGCTTAACTAGAAGAAGAGGAGCTTAAGTTATATTCAACATAAAGAATTTTGAAGATAAAAACATAGTTGCAACAATTTGAATAGAGACATTTAAATGAATTAAATGCATTACAATAAAGAATAAAGGCAGGACAAGATGAATTAAGAAAAAATAGAAGTATTGATTTAGAAAGGTAATTAATATAATATTATTATTATTATAAAGGTTGTTATAAAAATATCAAAATATGAAAAAAGATTTAGAGTAGAGAGAATAAATGGATATTTTAGCATTTGATGGATAATTTAAAACTAAAGGATGTAGTAGTTAGAGTACTTATAAAAGTGTAATGATGATGGCTAAAAAATGATGATTATCCAATTCCCTTTATATTTAATACTTAAAATTCATTTTGTGACTTGATATGATCTAATCTCTTATAATAATGCTCTTGCTTCAGGGTCTTTAGTAAAATGATCTCTAACAGGCTAGATTAATTCATTGAGAACTAAGGTGACTGCTGGTTTTAAATCACCTGGATGAAGTGCTCCTGAAATAAAGTCTGCTTCTAATTCAGCATAAGATATATATTCCTTATCTCCACCATTTTCAGGTTTTCTTTAAATTAAGAGTTTATTTCTCCATCCAAAAATTATTTCCTTTGTATAATCCAATACAGGATTATCTTTAATAACTTAAGGTGGACAATAAGCATTCTTTATTTTTTTCTTAACATCTTCTGCTGAGTCTTCCATAAAAATGGCTGAGTTTAAATCAGATTTAGACATCTTAACTTAACCTTCAAGTAAACCCATCATCATATGATGAGACATAATAATTGGTTTATATGCATCTGATGCTTTATCAGCATATTCTCTTGCTAACATATTAACTTTTCTAAAATTAAATAAATAGAATTATTACCTCTAATCCATACCTAATTAACAAATATCAGCCTCTAAAAAGAAGATGTCATTACATTGCATACATGGATAAAATAATTAAGCAACAGCCATCTTATCATCTTATTCATCATCATTTCTACCCATAATTTATCCACATCTTTTTATTCTTGAAACATTAAATTTACGAGCTAAATCTAATACTCTTAACCAATAATCATTAGGTCTTTTATTGATTTCATCTGAAGCCCATAAGAATTTACTATATTTATATTATTATTTAATTATACACGTTATGCATTTTCATTCCTGCAGCTTTCCAAACTTCAATGAAATATCTACCAACATTCTTTATTTTATTCAAATCTCCTCCCATTTTATTATTAAGTAAAGCAAACCAATCAGCAACCCAAAAGATGAATATACATCCTGCATCAACTAATCTATTCACATTTAATGCTCTAAGTAATCCTTATGCAATGTGCATTCTTCCACTAGGTTCAAATCCATCATAGCAAATAGGAAAGGTTTTTGTTTTTAATAGATTTATTAATTCATCTTTATTAATCAATTCTTCTCCTATGGGCTCTAATAATTTGAGCTTCTCTTCCAATGATAATCTTATAATAATTAATAATCATTAATACCTACTAGGTCTAGGATTGAATTAGATATTAACATCCTTTATTTCAACATATTTCACCTTATTCTTCTCCTTCTATTCTTTCTCTTTTTATCCTTCTACTTCCCAAATCAAACCTCCTGTTAATGGATCGATTGTAGCAAACATTAATAATTAAATTAACTAAATTAAATCATTTAAAAAGAATTTATTATATCATTTTCTAAAATATTCTTTATATTCTCTTAGATTACACTAGTCACATAAATTTTAAAATTCAATTCCTCCACTCTACTCATAACATATAAGATATAAAAATATATTTTTAAATCATTCAATAATTTTTATCTTCTTATATATAAAAAATATATAATCAGATGTTTATTTTTTGTTTTAAAAATACTTAAAGATTAAACAGTAATATTAAAAAATTGTGCTTTTTTATCAAAATTTAATATGGATTAAAGGATTATATACTTTTTATTATAATTTAATTATATTTATCTATTAAAATAAAATCTTAGTATTAAAGATAATTTTATTATTATTTAAATTTATATTCATTATAATAATCAAGCACAGTCTAAACATACCCTAAATTTAGAATGAATTATAATAGCATATATCTCTAAAATAAGTTTAAAAACATTGCAAATAGAAAATTTTTTTATATTTCTCACAAATAAATATATTGCTATCATTAGATATGATTAGGCATGTAATTATATATATGAAATTATTATCTTTTTATATAATATTTTAAAACATTATGCCACCCATAATCCTCTTGCATTTATTGAATAGATTATTGAAAAATATTATTTTGTGTTTCCACAAGATGTTGTATAATCCAAAATTGTTTGTAACTTTATTCCTATTCAATTGTAATGACTAAATTTAAAATCATTTATTATAGTTGATATAGATGTGTTTATTATTATTAATAGATTTCTCATAAGAGGTTAGTAATTAATACTTTAAGCATATGATTGATTTTTCTAATTTAAATTCATCTTATTTTTAATTATGAATATAATTTTTATGATTCTAATTATCTCTTCATACTCGTTATATTGGAAGAATAGCATTCTAATTCCATCTAAAATGAAAGAATTTTATTTTTACCTACATATATTTATTAAAAATATATACAATAATCTCAACACAGGTCTCGTAGCTCAGTTGGTTAGAGCGTCAGTCTAATAAGCTGACGGTCGAGGGTTCGATCCCCTCCGAGACCATTTTTTTATAAATATAAATTAATTTATATCTCATTTGTTTATTTATACAGTTTTTTTCACATTCGTAGTTTATGAGAGAGTTCTTCTCATTCTATTTTTAGCTGCTATGTCTCCATATTCTTCTTTACGATTCAAAAATTTATTAAGTAATTCATTTTTTAAAGGCATTCTCAAATTCATTTATTATTATGATTTTTTAAGAGCAGCTTCCTCTTTCATTTTCTATAGACTTAATTAAAATGAACTTTATCTATTTACAATATTACGAACAGGACTGTTTATAATTTAGGATCTAATCTATTCATTCTACAAATGAGTTGATTTTTAAGTGTTTCTTTAACTCATTCTTAAACGATTAAATACTATAGATTATTTAATTTAAGAAGGGTTAACAATACTATTGAGATTATTAATTTATGATTCATTAATATCTTCTTCTGAATTATTTGATTGAGATTGATGAATTGAATTAATTGAATGAGTTGATCTTATTTTATTTTTTTATACAATAGTTTATTTCTATTATTCATCAACATCTTCATTACTTTTCTTAAAATTATAATGTCTTGAAAGTGTTTTCTTGCTCATAATTTCACCAGTTAATGATACTTTATTATTGAATTTAATCTCATTTCTTGATACTTAAGTCTTACATTTATTTGGTAAATTCTCTTCAATTTAAGGTAATACTTTCTCTTTAAAATAATCATAATCAAAAATAAGTAATTAACCTTCCTCACTAATACAAAAAGCTGTACCATTACTTAATGATGTTTTATTATTCAATTCATTTTCTCCAATCAATTATCCTTAAGTGAATATATGAACTGCTTTTGCAACTCCTTTTTCAAGTTCTCTTAATTCAAAAATACCTTTAATAACCAAATAAATTTATTTGATCATTTACTCTTATAAATATACTATATCTAAACATTAAAAGGTTTATGACATAGAATTAGCATAGAACTTACGTACTTAGGCATAAGGAATATTCTTGAAGATTGGAAAAGCATACAATTAAGACATTTCCTTAGTAATTCGACTAACTTCAAAATTCATTAGGTTCACTCTAAAATCATGTTTTGAAATTGCTGCAACTTTACAGGCAGTTTTAGATGTAACATTCCAATCTGATCTAAAATCATGAATGTATACATGTCAGAATAGCATTCACTTCCAAAAAGAAGTAGATTTGATCCAAAATGTTTGAGATGAATCATTTCTTGATTTCCTTTATTCAAAACTACATCTCCTGATAAAATGATTATCAGTTTATTTTAATCCAATTAATTTTTTGAGAATATCACCTAATTTTTTTGGAACTATTCAAATTTCATTAACTAATATAATATAAATAGTCTAACTTAACAACACTCTATTAGAAATTCATTATCACTTGTTCTAAAGAATTCATGTCCTCTCAACAATTAACCAAGTTTCTCATTCTCTTATTCTAATCGTAAAGTTGGATCTTTCTATAATAATTGCATGCATTATTGAGTAGTTTATTAATTTCTAGTATACAATAAATCTGGTCGTTAGAGCTTTTCAAAATGAATATCTGTAATTGTAGATTAATTATTTTTTTTCATTTAATTATTAATTTTAAGGTTATCATTTAGGTTTTTAAGTAATTTATAATGAAACAAAATCTCAATCTATATTTAATAAAACTTAATAATTATGAGATAACCAGAAAGAATGAAATTAAATAATAAAGAGAACTTAATTATTTATACATCATTATAAAATTTATTAGAAAAATCATTTTGTTTCAATCTCCTTATTTCCACAATGAATGTTTAATTAATTTGAATATAATAATCAATAATAATAATATCTGGATGGATATCTTGAATATCTACTATATGCTAATGAATTTGCTAATGGTTAACGAACAACACTGGATCTCTCAACTGGAACATAGTCAACTGCTTCATCATATCTCTCAATAGGCACATATTCCACTCTTCTTTCAAGTCTTGGTACTGGTACATAATCTCTGTAATGTTCGACTTAATAATACCAATATTTTCTTACTTTCTACATAGTCTGTATATCTTCTTTCTACTGGTTTATATTCAATTCTTTGTTCTGGAACATATTCTGTATATCTCTATTCAACAGGGATTCTTTCTACCCAAGAATTACCTTATTTCTTAATAAGTAAGTGTACCTCTTGGTGGAGTTGATGTGTAATATGGAGAAACATATGAACGGGTTGGTGAATACTATTATGGTCTAACATAGGATTTGTAAGGTGAATAGAGATAACTCATTATAAACAAAATAAAATTTTATTGAAAATTAATATAATGTCCATTAAAGACATTTAAAAACTATAATCTCTATTTCAAATAAACAACAGTGTTGTTTAAGAGTATTTAGGAATTAGGTTGATAAATTAAACTCTTATTGATTAGGTATTGCCCACATGATTACTTATGTAGTTGGTGAATAGTGATAGTGCTAATGAGATTCAGAAAATCAAGAAAATTGAAGGCTGCAAAGATTGGGATAAATTGAAACATAAATTATTGGCTTATTTTATGGCATCTTAATTGACTTATGGCAAACCTATTAATAAATACATTTAATAAGCATA